AGTATTTGTTCAATTGCTAACAAATTATTTGAGAACAGAGTGTACTTCCCGAATGGAAATTTATATGACCTCTCAAATAAACCAAGAGAATTTATTTCACGCTGTATTCAAGGTGGAAGATGTATGCTGTCAGATAACATGAAACAAAAGAGCGAAAAGAAACTCATTGCTGACTTCGACGCTGTTTCATTATATCCATCAGCAATTGCAAGATTGTATACTTTAGAAGGAATTCCAAAAGTATTGAAGGATGAGATGTTAAGCACAGAGTATCTCATGAGACATTTATTCGATGATGACCAAAAGGAACCCATTGGTGAAAAGTTTATGTCTGGCTTCTTTGTTCTCATTAAGATAACAGAGATTGGAATACATAGACACTTTCCTTTAATAGTTTGTGACCCTGAACTAAATCCAGAACTTAACGTTCCCAGAAGTTCAAACACTTGCTGTCTCATGTATTTGACCATATAACATTACAAGACCTCATAAAATATCAAGGTGTCAAATGTGAAGTGTTGCAAGGATACTATTACGATGGAAACAGAGATATTAGAATAAGAGATGAAGTAAAGAAGTTGTTTGAGTTAAGGTTAAAGTATAAGAAAGAAGGAAATCCTTTGCAAGAAAATATAAAGCTCATTCTGAACAGTATTTATGGCAAAAACTATTCTATCTCCTATTGAGTCAAAAATAACCATAGTAAATGACAAAGATGCTATAAGATATGCCATCAGAAACTACAACCATATAGTGAAGTTCGAAGGTTTGGATGGTTCAGATAAAACTATTTTCAAGCTAACGAAAAGCATTTGCAGACACTTTAACTTCTGTCCACTTGGTGTTAATATTCTATCTATGTCGAAGAGAATAATGTGTGAAGTATTCTGTACTGCTGAGGACTTAGGAATGGACATCTTTTATAGCGATACCGACAGTATGCATCTCTACAATGAAGATATCCCTCGTTTAGCTGAAGAGTTTGAGAAACGTTATGGAAGAGTTCTCATTGGTAAAAACCTTGGTCAATTTCATAGCGACTTTGCAGAAATCACACCTGGAAAACAAAGTTTAGCATACAAGTCAATATTTTGTGGAAAGAAGACTTACATAGACTTACTCACGAATGATTTAAATGAAGTTGCATTTCACTGCAGAATGAAAGGCGTGAAGCAAGATGTTATTGCTTTAACCGCTAATGAAATGTTTCCTGACTCTGTTCAGTGTTTCTATGATGAAGATAAAGGTTTAATGGTTCCGCAAGGAACATATGACAAAGACTCTGAGTTCAGTTTAATGAAACTTTACAAAGCACTTTATGACGGTCAAGAGATTGGATTTGACTTATGTAAGTCATGTCAACCTTGCTTTGAAGAGAAGTTTAACTTTTCTATTCAGACTAAGACTTCATTCATAAGAAAGCTTAAGTTCTGAGGTCATGAATGAGAAAAATAATGAGGTCATTTATTTTTGTCAGCAATGAGGTCATTCGTGAAAAAATAAAACTAGCGGCAAGGGCGAAGCCCATGGTCATTTACAATACTGCGATGGTAGAGTTTAAGAGTTGTGCTTCAATGTAGAGACAGTCCTTATGGTCTGGAGGTAAGAACACTGGGCAGTTATGGTCATGAGTGGAGAACATGTCTATCCAAAACTCACGATTGAAGCCAGTTAATTTATAGTATTTAGGGTTAGGAAGTGGTGAAGTTCTTGTATGACCAATGAACTCATTTTCAACTCCCTTACTTAAGTTTGAATATAATATAGCTTGCTTTCTATCCCAAATGCCAGGTGTTACAATCTTTGAAAATTCATTTTTCCTCGGAAGCATTGCATCATAATTGAAAACATTCTTGAAATCTTCATTGGTTCAGAGATTTGAAACCTTATACGTAATGGATTTTCTTTCTCTTTAGCTACTTCATTGAATGGTGAATATATAACAAACTGACAGTCATGAGTTCCATCTTCATTTTCATTAAATTCATAATGAAAGTCTATAAGTTGTGGCTGACTACCTTCTTCTTTCAGTTGTGCAAGAAACTCACGTAAAGGCTGTAAAGTTTGTACTTCAATGTTGAACTTTTTCTCGAACATCTCATTAAATGAAATCATACATTGCAACATGTTGTATCGTCTTTAAAGTATTTGTATATGTGAATGTTTTGGGCGCTTAAAGACTGTTCGTCATTTTCTATCTCGACTTGAAGTATAAAGTCAACCTTTCTGAAAGCACGTGTTATATACATATTTGTTATGCCAATGTACTTCTCTTCATTTATGTTCACAATCCAGTCTTTGGAAACTTAAACGTTACTCTGTTCCCCTTTATTTTGACGTCAGGGTTTTCACTACTGAACGCAACAGTTAAAGGTATTTGTCTATACATTTAATTCGGATAAAAATAAACCATTTACTCTTTCTTTGCTTCAGCTTCTTTAGCTTTTGCTTCAGCTTCTTCTCTAGCTTTCTTCGCCAGCAAACGTGGGTTCTTTGTCTTCCAGCAGCTAATGCAGCAAGTTGTTTTTCACTAAGTTTTCTCTTTGGTCTCTCTGGCTTTTGTTCTTGTTTTTGTTCCTTCAGTTCGGATAAAATTTGCTCACGAATTTCTTTCTTCAATGCTTCAACATCTATGACCCCTGGGTCTTGTCCGTAGGACTTGTCTGAGTCATTTGACTGCAGATAAAAAACAAAATTAAAACTTTAACCGATGTAAAATGAGCTTGTCAAAATCAGAGCGAGAGTCTATTATATTAAATGACGCAAGAGGAATACAACATCCTTTCTATTACGTAAGTCAGAGTAAAGATGGTAAAATATACGTAAGAAAAAGAAAGTTCCATTAGCGAATGCAGAAAGCGACAACATTAAGGTGTATGGCAAGGGTGAAGTCCACGAAGCCCATATAAAACCTTCTGTCAAAAACTAGCCACCAAAAGAACAGAAAAAAGAACAGATGTACTTTCAATAACGAACCAAGAGCTTATTGCAAAGTTCGTGAATTTCATTGAAAAGCAAACCGAGTCAAAGAACCCTGACCCACCAGTGAAAGAAGTTGAGACAAAAGAGAATGTACAGTTCATTGAAAATGTCAAGAAACAACTTCCACCACGAATACCAAGAAGAAGAGTGAGAATAATGAAGTAAATAGATATTTTTATCTGAAGTAAATACATGCAGAACGAACAGTTAAACGAATTTACTCCAGCAGAGCATATTCATCAGATTCGCTCATATTTCGATATCATAGACAATGCAGTTCAAATTGGTGACACTAATAGAAAATATTCTGACGCAAAGATTCCATCACAACCTGGAACTGCTAAAGATAACACATGGGTAACATTCAATCTCTCACCTCCTGGTGAAAATATGTTGGACCTTTACAATACATTCATTACGTATAAAATGGAAGGTCAATTTATTGTAGATAAAGAAATTGGTTCAGGTTCCAAAAAAACAAACCCACCAGGATTTTGGATTGGTTTCGATGACGCTTTCTATGCAGTTGCTGGATATCAAATCCTTGCAAATGGTCGTATCGTATATTCTCAAGACAACGCAAGAGAAGAAGCATATATAACTTCAAACTCACAAACTACCGAACAAATAAAGAAAGTAGATTTTCTCAAAGACTCGACATGAAGATGTATGGAGTCATTCGGGAACATGCAGAACAGGACAAATTGTTAGTGGTCCAATTACAGCAGGAAAATCATTTGATTTTAAGCTTCGTTTAAGAATTCCTGTTAGAAGATTCCTTCCATTAGAAGCTATTCGATTTATTCCAGCTTTTGCAGGAAACATTCAGCTTAAAGTAAAGTTCAGTAGCGACGCCTTACAATGCACATCTATATCTGTAAATGATATCATTGCTTTCAATCCAACTCTTAAAGTTGCATTTGCTTCAGATTCAAATCCACCGACAAATAAATTTGTTCCATGGAATGAACCATTCACTATGATAACGAAGGCAGTAGAAGCTAGTGGAACAGTTACTATTACAACTGTAAACCAGCAACTATTTCGAACAAAGATGGATTTTAATGAATGTTTCATTCATCCAAAGTCATTCTCTTTAGACCCTAACATTTATACAGAACTTGTAGAACATTATACAAACGAGGCTTTATGTTTTCCTGTTAAAGTTATGGATTGGATTCCTATGGACGGTTCATTCTCAAAGAATACAGATAGTTCAAGTGCAACATTTACAGCAGCTTATACGCCTATTAATGTTAAAAGTATTTGGGCACTATTTAGAAAGAAAGACAACTATTATGTTAATTTTGAGAACCCTAAGTTTAAATATCTTCAGCTTTCCATGGGAGCTTATGGAAATATGCCTGCAGAACCTGAAAAATCATATGGACCTGTATTTTATGAAATGGTTGCGAACGCTGCAATACAAACAATGATATGATAGGATTTAATGAAGATGTTATGAGGTCATTGGTGGATGATGGTAGTGTGGAACATAAATGGGATAGCTATGACAACACACATTTCTTATGTGGTTTTCCAACAGAAGTGGACTTTTGCTTCCAGCAAGGTCAAACATCTACTGCTCCAATAACATACAAATTGTCTGTTAAAGGACCTATTGAACTAGCAACTGAAAACGTACCAAAGCCACTTATTGGATTTATGAGGGATTGTTGCTTTGCCATTCAGGTGACAGTCAGGCATCCCATAATAAGATTAGATGACTATAACTTAGCTACGGACGACAGTGAGGAATAAAGGATGAACGTTTATTTTTAAAGCTTATAAATGAGTTCTTCATCAAGCTCTCGTGAACCTTCACCATCTATGAAACAAACTTTACCAAACGATTATGGAGCACCTATTGAATATTTCTTACGAGCTGCACAATGGCAAAGAGCAGTCTCACCAAGGTTAGGTGTTCCACCAGCTCCTGTCAAAAATAGCATTTGGTCAAGTCCTTATATAAAATATGTCTCCCACTAGGTTTGCTAGCTACAGCAGGAGCAGTTATGATGTTGAAAAGAAATAAAGCAAATGTTGTAAATAATACTGAAGTAGCTGAAGTTAAACAAACTCCAACACCTTCACAAGCAAAACCTTCAATGACTCCTGAACCTATGGAAGTACAAACTCCTGTTCAAAAGTCAACTCCTAAACCGACTCCAACATTTAAACCAGAACCTACTCCTCAAATAAATCGTAAAACTCCTGCGTTTCCTTACTGAAAAAATAACGTTATTTTTATTTAATATTAAAAATTTTATTTGATTGAAATGACGACTAAAGTCACTGAAGCAATGAAACAAAATTTTTGGTAGAATACATTAAATCAGGAACTATTCCAGAAGGTTTTTACATTCATACTATGAAGGATGTAGAGTTCAGTTTAGAAAGATAAAGCAACCATTAGATAGAGAAGGTATATTAAGAAAGATTAAACTTCATGAGGACAACATTGCTGAACTTAAGAAGAAGTTAGAAAGGGGAAAGAAGAGAGTTATAAAGCAATGAATTCAACAGTTAGAAATGAGGTAGAAATGAGGTTAGATCTACCCTTCTACCCTAAATTATTTTTGCGCTATGTTTTCATACGTGTGAGGGTGGTGATATCATTAATATTTTTATTTTATTTTTATGTAAATGACGAAAACTATTGAGATAACAAACTACAACGGTCATGATTCAAGAATTTGTTCTTCGTCCTCGTGAAAATACATTCTATCAGATACGAGGGAGAAGGGGTAAAGTTAGTTTGAGCGTTTATGAAGGAATGAAGAATGGAAAGTTTATACAAGCATACGATACAAACGGTAAACGTGTTTCATTAGCTTTGTCAAAACTTACTAACATTTATTTTGACAGTGATTTTGACCTATATGAAGAAGAAAGTGAGTCAGAAGATTATGAGCTGTTATGTGAAGCACAGCAATGGGAGGAGTTGCAATACTTTTGTAAGTGAGAACGTTTATTTTTTACATTAGTGAAGTCGTTTGTGAAAACGTTAGTGAAGTGAAGTGGTTGGCGGCTTTGTAAATATTTAATGTTAAGTTAGTGTTGTCGTTTGTGTTGTAAAATATACGTTAATGGTTTTGTAAAGTGTCAAAACAGCTAAGTTGTGTACGGAGGCGCGCAGTGCCACAGTACACGACTTAGGTATACTAACTTCTTTTCTTTTAACTCTTTCAATATATTGTTTGTGTCTGGAATATGTTTGAGACGGTCCATATAGTTGTCGAAGTCATTGCATATAATCTTTGAGTCTGGGAATATTATATGGCACAAATGGGATATATAGAAACTTCCACCGAACAAATCTACAAATGTTAGACCATTCGGTAGTTTCTTAAGTTCTCTCATATAATATCTACATCTACTCTTATTTCCAAAGAACGGTAACGGTGGTTTTGTAAAATTCATTTATATATAATAATAAAAATGTTTTTACCCGAAAAGTGACAGAAAAGTGACAAAACATGAAAACATATATAATTTGTGAAAAGCGACACATTATATAATGTAAATAACAACGGTTTTGGTTTTTATCACCGGCTGGTCGGCTGGGGTTCGGTCCTCCTCTTGGGTCTTGGGCAAAATTCTTAGGGCTAGAGGGCACGAAGTGCCTGGAAGCCCCACTACCTTTTTTTTTTTTTTTTTCAATATTAATGAATGCCCTCTTAGTATTGCTATCAAATCTAATTCAATAGAAATTGTCCAATTCTTAGTTGAACATGGTGCAGATGTTAACATAAAATTTATTCTCTTTCTTTTCATATTTATCATTGTTTTATGAAATTATATTTCTTTACATATTTATCAATGTTTAATGAAATTCTCTTTCTTTTCATATTTATTATTGTTTTATTGCATTCTTTCGATATTAATGAATGCCCTCTTAGTATTGCCATCAACGCGAAATCCATAGAAATTGTCAAATTCCTAGTTGAACATGGTGCAGATGTTAACATAAAATTTATTCTCTTTCTTTTCATATTTATCATTGTTTTATGAAATTATATTTCTTTACATATTTATCAATGTTTAATGAAATTCTCTTTCTTTTCATATTTATTATTGTTTTATTGCATTCTTTCGATATTAATGAATGCCCTCTTAGTATTGCCATCAACGCGAAATCCATAGAAATTGTCAAATTCCTAGTTGAACATGGTGCAGATGTTAACATGAAACTTATTCTCTTTCTTTTCATATTTATCATTGCTTTATTACACTATCTTATTATTTATATTTATCGACTTTTTATTACATTATCTTTCTCTTCATATATATCATTGCTTTATCATATTCTTTCGATATTAATGAATCCCCTCTTAGTATTGCCATCAAAATTAAAGCAACAAATATTATCAAATTCTTAGAAGAACATGGTGCTACAAAAGACTAATAATTCTTTTTCCAATAGCTTTATTTTATATTAAGAATAAACATATAATACATTGCATTAATATACACGAATTTAAAGGTGATTACATATTTCAGGGAATCAATAATTGTTTTTCAATATATTCTGAAAATTTTCTTTTTTCGATCTAGAAGATAGCCCCAATAATTTTGTATTATTTTGGTGAGACTAGTAAGACATTTAAAATATAATGCAGTGTGAAAAAATGAGTACGTAGAGAATATTTAACAGTTTTCTCCAAGAGAAATTCAAAGCATTCAATCTATTTTATGTGTAGATTTACCGGACGAAAATAGCATTTTGTTATCCACGAGGTATAGTTCTGAAATTGAGGCAAACAAAACAAAAGATTATTCAATAAATTTTATGGAAGAAAACACAATTTACAGAGCTATTAATTTCTCATTTTGCATGGTGCCGAAATTAATACAAAAGGTGAAAATGAATGGACAGCCCTTCATGCTGCATCAAAAAGTAATAGCATAGAAATAGTAGAACTACTTTTTTCATATGGCGCAGATGCTAATGCAAAAGATAAAGATGAATTCACCGTTCTTCAATGTGCAGCAGAAAATAGCAGTAAAGAAACGGCCAAATTTCTTATTTTACACGGTGCAGATGTTAATGCAAAAGTCATTAATGGATGGTCGGCGCTCTATAGAGCAGCAGAAAATAACTGTATAGAAATAACCAAATTTCTTATTTCAAATGGTGCTGATGTTAATGCAAAAGATAAAGATGAATTCATCGTTCTTCAATTTGCAACATTAAATAATAATAAAGAAATAATCAAATTACTTATATCATATGGTGCTGATGTTAATGATAGAGATAATTATAGTTTATCAGCGATTCATGTTGCATCACAAAATAATAACAAAGTTGTTATAAAATTCCTTATTTCACATGGGGCTGATGTTAATGCGAAAGATTTTTATGGATGGACAGTATTTCATTCTGCAGCATTTAATAACAGTAAAGCAGCGGCCCAATTTCTTATTTCACATGGTGTTGATGTTGATTCTAAAAACAATGATGGATTATCAGCACTTCATGCTGCAGCACACAGTGGCAGTAAAGAAATGGCCGAATTTCTTATATCGTATGGTGCTGATGTTAATGACAAAGACAATTATGATGCCACAGCTCTTCATTATGCATCACAAAATAATAACAAAGATGTTGTACAACTTCTCATTTCATATGGTGTTGATGCTAATAAAATCGACAATTACGGATTCACAGCTCTTCATTATGCATCACAAAATAATAACAAAGATATTGTACAACTTCTTATTTCACATAGTGCTGTTGTTAATAATATAGACAATTATGGATGATCAGCACTTCATACTGCTGCAAAATATTGCAGTAAAGAAACGGATAAGTTTCTTATTTCATGTGGCACAAAGTCAAAAGAACTCCTCTTCATGATTCATCTCAATCTCAAAATTAATGAGGACAATAACGCATTAATTAATTACGTTATCATAGCAAATGCTATTGTGTCCAGATGAAAATGAGCATTTTTTATAAAAACGAAAATGTTTCTTCTTTATTAAAATAATATATATAAAACAAATATAAATATATACAAAAAATAATATACAAAAATATAAATAAAAATTAATCAATGTGAATATCTAAATCAGTAGGCATTGAAATCATAGGTTCACTAGATTTGTAGTCACCAGAATCCTCATCATCATTATCATCCATGTGTCTGTATTCTTCGTAATCTTCTTCCTGACCAAATTCTTCTTCTTCGTCATCATAAAACTCTCTTGGTCTTGATCCGATATCTTGTTCTGTGTAGTCGTCTCTGTACATTCTTCCCTGGAGTCTATTACCCATCTCTTTGTACTTCTTGGCTTTCTCTTCGTCTCTTTCTCCGAGTAATCCTCTTTCATAAATATATGACAATTCGAAATTCGCTTGTGCAATTCCAAATTGAGCGGCCTTTTCGAAGTTAGTAACAGCAAGAGCTATATCTCTTTCAACACCGTCGCCATCCATAAGCATCTGTCCATACTTAAGTTGTGCGCGCGGGTCTCCAAGATCGCTTGCTTTCTTAAGCCATTCGATGAAAACTTCATCATCTTCTGTGTCAAATTTTCCATTCAATCCTAATCTTGCGAATCTCGACATTGCTTCGACATTTCCTTTATTCGCAGCGTCTTCCAACAGTTTGTACGCTTCTTGTTTGTGTCCTGTCTTCAGCTTGTAGTTCGCAAGATCGTATTGCGCCAAAAGATGTCCGCCATCAACAGCTTGTTGAAGCATATTCGCTCTTGCTGATTTTTCGAGGAAATTAACAGCATATAAATACTGCGCATCAGTAATTCCTGCTTTAGCTGCAGCTGCCAACAAATCTTGCGGTGGCTTTCCTTTTCTATTAATATATATCTTGGCAGCTCTAAAAGCGGAATCCGCGTTATTGTGCTCTTTCCAACTCCTCTTGAAACATTCAATCGCTTTGTTTTCATCGTGTTGGACGTATTTTCCATCTAATAACAAGTCAGCGTATCTCAATAAACACGTCTCATCGCCAATGTCTGTTCCCATCTTTATGTATTTAATGGTGTCTTCAATTGAAAGTGACTTCACTTCACCTAATGCGGCCATTTTACAATATTTTCTTTTAGCGAATTCATCACCTGAATCACAAGCCTTTTTAATGTATTTGATGGCATTTGCCTGTCCAACGTCTATTTTCTCTTCGATAATTAGTTTCGCCAAGAGTATTTCTGCAGAATTATTTCCTTGGTCGGCAGATCTGATCAAGAAATCACTTGCTTCTTCGAGTTTTCCTTCTTCTACTAAGTAATTTCCGTATTTAAATATGGAGTCAGAGTTTCCCTGGAGAGCGGCCAATCTGTAGTATTTCTTTGCTTTCTCTTCACCGCCAGGGAACTGTTTGTTTTGGTAGTTCTCAGCGAGCTTTAACAAACTATCCAAATGGCCTTGTTCGACAGCCAAAAGATAGTATTTTTCACTCAGCTCGAAGTTCTTTGGGAAATTCTGTCCTGTGTAAAGAAATCCTGCCAATCTGTACTGCGCATCAACAAAACCATTGTCTGCAGCATCGACCAAGTAATTGTTTGCTTCTTGTCTGATGTTCTGGTTCTTCGGTTTCGCTCCCATGATGATGGAAACCAAGTATTGGGCTTCAGGAATGCCTTGGTCAGCTGCTGCTTTGAATGATTTGAGTGCTGCGTTCTTGTTGACGGAAATTCCAACACCTTCGCGTCTGAAACAGCCAAATAAGAATTGACAACGCGCATCTCCTTGTTCTGCTATCTCTTTGACGCGCTCTGTCACTTCTTTGACGTCGACAAAGGCTGGAATGGGCCTGGGAACGTAGTTGTTCACTAAATTTTTTTCGCCATTTAGTGATTTCGCATAAGAAATGAATTGTTGAGGGTTTGTGCCTTCAAATAAGAGGCTCCCGTTGACGAAGCTGCTCAGGATGTCTTCGATCTTGGGTCTATTTGATGGTTCTTCGTCGAGACATTTGGAAATTAGGCTTTTTATCTCTGGTTTGATATCTTCATTCAAAAGATTGGGAGAAAAGCACTGGGATTTGGTAGCAAGACAGGCAAGTATTGCACCGTATGAGTAAATGTCGTTGAATTCGCCTTGGGAAGTGCTTTTGTCGATGAAATTGGAATCGTATTCCATATCAATGGATTCTTTATCGTAAAGTTCGCTCATCCAATATTCTGAGATCTTTGGTTCGAGTTTGCGGTTAAGTAATATGTTGTTTGGGTTTAAAAGGCCGTGAACAATTTTTTTAAGATGTAAACCTTTGAGACCGACCAAAATGCCAAAGGAGCATATGGATTTGGCTGTAGATGTCCATTGGAAGGGATGCTTGCCTTGAGACTCTAGTTGCAAAATATTACCTAAAGAGCCTTTTAAATAATATGGCATCATATACCTCATACTGCCTGCTTCAGAGAAATCAAATAAATACTCGCCGTGAGGACATGCGAGACATGGATGAGAGATAAGAGCATATTTTCGGTAATAATCATCAGGATTGATAGATTTTGCATTGTTTGGAAGTTTAATAGCGAAACTTGATAAAACTAATATCCTTCCATCAACTAGGTCTTGAATTAAATCTGTATTGCGGCCTTTTCTTAAAGCAAGTTGCTTAATCTGTCTTATTAGAGTTGGATCATGTTGGTCTTTTTCTAAAATCGATGATGAGTTTGATGAATCGTTAGAATTAGACAAAGAATTCATAATATTTTGTTCATCTGAAGAAAATGATTCATAACTATTGCTGCTCTGCGAATTATTTTTAGATCTATCATTCGATGGTGTGGAAGAACCCACCGTGGCCGGTGTGACTCTATTAGATTTCATTTATAGTCACACTTTGTCACTTTTTGGATTGTCATTGTCTTCACACCCATAAATTTTGAATTTTAGATTGTTTCTCAAATTTGAAAATATTATATCAAATCAAGTTTTAGTAAACAAACAAATTAAATGATTTACTAAAGCGAAAATATCATATGTTATAGTTGATGTCAAAAAGATCATTTTTAAATTCATTATTTGACTTTCTAATTAAACAATCATGGTTATAATTCATAGAATTGCAACTTTGGCTACTGGATATCTATTCGTATGCCGCTGTTTTCTTAAGTAATAATCAAAATCTTGAATTGGATATCATTATAAGTAATTCTATCAATTTGTTAAACAAAGAGTAAACTGACTAGTTTTCTTCTTTGTATTCGATTTCTAACTCTTGAGATTTCGATTTTGAAATATTTTTATCTGACTTAAGAGCAAAGAGAATGTCTTTAGTTGAAATTACATATGAGGTATTTGTTTGTGGAAGATAATCTCGTAAGTTTTTTGGGAATTTTCTTGAAGGATCATCAGGACAACGCCATTTTTGTTCATTAAGAATGGAATCAACATATGTACTTATATCTCTCTCTTCGACAATATTATATAAATCTGAACTTTGTGAATGTTTTTTTGCAATTTCTTCAGCTCTTAAAACGCAAAATCCTATTTTAGGCATTGAACATATACTATGTGATGGAAGCTTTACTCTTAGTTGATATGCAGAAATTGATTTTATTAATAATTGAATTATCCGAAAATAAGTCGACAATGCTATGATTTTTGCAGTTTCCTCTGTAAATGTTATCCCAGGAAGCATGTCGTGCATTATTTGTATAATGCATTTCAAATCCATTCCGTATTCATTATATGTAGCACTTTTAGATGATTTGTGTTTAACATTTATATCCATGAATACAACTTCATCACTGGAATAATCATCCTCTGATGATGAAATATCAATAAATGTTGGTTTCTGGTTTTTGCGCCTCCTCATTTTTTTTTGTTTTTTATCAAATTCAGATATATCAAAGTAAGTGGGATTATTTCTGTATTGGAACTTGGAGGTCTATTCTCTGATTCCATCAAACAAGAACCTTATGAATAAAGAGGCCTAGATGAAATTAAAGAGGATATCTGATTTAAAATAACATCAAAAACTATAGAGCTAGAAAAAAGGAATAGTAGATATAATCATCGAGGCATTGATATCATTTGTATGTAAAGGAAAATTTCATGTAGAATTCTAAAATATTTTATTCCTTAGAAAGGCGCTGAGCGTTGCGCTGCTCGAGCTTCTCAAGTCTAAGCTTAAGGAACAATGGAACACGGTTGCGGCGAACGTTAACATTACGTGGGCGAACAACGTGGCGGTGGACAGCGCAAGAAACGCAGTAGTACTGCTTCTGGTATGTCTTTGGAAGCTCATAACCCTGATAGATGCATGCATCGGAAACATCCTTTGCAGAGGAAGCATCGACCATATTCTTGATGGCGAAACGTGTGATAGCCTTATCCTTTGGGACTTGGCGGCCGCAGTTCATGCAGTTAACTGTTCTTGTGTGGCCACGGTTCATCTTAGAACGGCCATGATTCCTTCTCTTGACTGGCATCTGAAAGGCGGGCCAATCGTCACTTTTTCAAAAAGTGAAAAATATAACCCTCTTGTTTGATAAATTTTGATACTCTATATGTAATGTTTTTGTTACAGTTTTGGCAGAAATAACTCTTTTTCTGTTCAATTTCCTTTTGTTCCCCAATTTTTGACAAGATGTTATAATAAATATGAACGACGATTTGATATTTCATTAAAAAATTATCTTATACTATGTAGGGTGAATGTATAAACCTGCAACAATTCTTTGAGTAAAAAATCAATTTTGATATTATATCATTTCGGGACTCATCAAATATAATGATATCAAGTGTAATAATCTGTAGGGTGAATGTATAAACCTGCAACAATTCTATAGAATTTTAAAATAAAAAATAGATACAATACAGTTTAATTATAAGGATTTTCCAGATGATAAGGTGAATCCTCACCTTCATTTTGTTGCGGCGGTGGTATCATAGGAGGAGCAACATATGTAGGAGGTCGGTAAGGTAATTGTTTGCCTTCTTGATTTACATAACCAATAACTCCTTGTGGAGTTCTAGGAACTTCAAGATCCTTTTTTTCACCAGTCGTTTGATTTAACAAATTAGATGTGATCTCTGAATTAAAATCCACTGACTTATAACTGCGCTCAAAAATCTTTTCATCAATATCACAAGAACAACACATATTGAATAGCAGATATACCTGTAAGAGAAGAATATAAATAAGAGCTGAAAACATAAAAAAAATTAGAGTAAATTGCAAATAAAGGCAGCATCTAATTCCAAACCAAGGCCTTGCATCAGGATAATTTGCACAACTCCAACAACAATGAGTACAATTACATGATCCGTGAGCACAAAAACCTAAACAATCGCCCCAATAACCTTTATAATTCGGATGATTTGAATAGAAATTTCCAAATAATGTATAATTTCCTTTACAACAACAGAAGAAGCAGCATGCCCAACGGCAGCCGGTTCTATAACATCTGTTTGGATATGCGCAAGCAAGGCAAATTAATATTGGGTCTAATATAAAAAATGGCACATGCCGAGAGCAGGCATAACGTACAAGAAAAAATCATCTATGTCTAGTAATTGTCTGTTTTTACGTAAATTATTTGTAATTGCTTTATTTTTATTGATAATTATTCTTAATCCTTTAGAAAATGACTTATTACCTGTCTTTATTATGAGAGTGGCTCGATGTCTGCTCGCAAAAGTCAAAGCAAAGACATGTGAATCTGCAATTTTTGTATTTTCTGAGAAATTCATGTTTCGAGCTTTCATGTCTTTTGTTATATATGAAATTGATCCATGATTTTTATGCTTTGAACGAAATGAAAGTGATACATTTGTTGATTCGAAATTAACATAATTGTATACTATTCCTTTGGTTTTTGTACTCGTTCTTATTGCAAATACTTCATTTGATTTGGTTGATATTATGGTTTGCATATTATTGGATGCTGAAATAAAAGCAACAATTGTAAAACTTATAGAACTGTAGGTACTATTCGGAACATTAAATAAAATAGACGTAATTTGGCGATTTTCTGCTATGTAGGTGAGATTTTTTGAAAAACAATGAGTTATTTGAGTTTTATTTTTAGTAAAATAGGTAACACTTCCTTTTGACAATGTTCCATCAATCTTAATTGCTGTATGTGAGAATGTATCAGCATGGTAATCCAAGGAAAATCGCTTGGTAAAATTCTCTCGTGTAGGGATGAAAGTATGAGTAATTAATTCCCCATGGTGCATATTTAAAATGGAATCGTCACCAAGTCTGGTGAAAATTAAACCTATAAACAATAACATTAATTTCTAAATTTTTTAAGACAAAAATTGATTTGCAAATATAATGTGGTGATGAAAACATGAAGACTTTTAAAATTTTATTAGTAAATTTTGCACTTGCCAAATATTGTGCTTGAAACTCATTTTTTAAACGAACACTTCAAAAAGAATAGACTTAGAACCTAGCCAATCTTCTCAATTCTTTGGTGGTGGTGGTGGTTCAATATTAAAGAAGAGATCAATACCTAGCCGTTTTCAAGATACTTCAAAACGAAAATTCGACGATTCAGATCAAGATAATCAGTTAAATAGAATTTTAGACGATTTAAAACATATGAATCAACTTAACCCAAATGAAATATACGAAAATTTACTTAGATATCAAGAAAAACTCTCCACTATTTTTCAAAATAATGAAAAAGATGCAAATTCAAATGAACTAATCACCTCAATTATTACCTGCTCAGAATCTTTGAATGATGAACAAGCAAATTCAATTTTTGAGACATATTCACAATGTGCAAATATTGGTATCAAAAATCCACTTTGGATTGCTTCTTATGCATTAACTTATGAAAGAGTACAAAATTATATTCCAGTTTTTCAAATATACCAATCTGCATTTAATAATCAAATCGAGCCACCATTTCTCAAAGATCAATATAGCAAATTCATATCAAGAATGCAGAAGAGGTTATCTCAAGTTGTAAAATTTGATTTGGGAATGTATAATAATATTAAATACACATGGCGTGCAGGAAATGTCATTGCAATGGAGAATGGCAGGCGCACAGATCCAGAAATAGATATCGTAACCATTCTTGGCATGAATAAACTCAATAAAACAACAGATTCTTTCTCAACAATGAAAACAGAGAGACCAGCATACGATGCAAACTTACTTTTGTCAACAGATGGAACATCTCGCAGCTTTGTTGAAGCTCGACTTGCGGATATGGGAATTGATTTTGTGAGATTACGGAAAGAAAAAGAAAGAAAAGCTCAACCAAGAATTCCATTACAACCAATCTCTCCTAAATCAGAATCAAAGCCAACAGAAACAGTTTTCAGATTACCAAGCAGAACAAAAGGTAAATCTTCTTTCTTAGCTCAAGAAGAAGGTTCAGTACCTGAAAGGAAACCATTGCAAGTTATAAAATCTTCATTCTTGACTAATGAAGCCGATCCAGATGAATTTAATCCTTTCCGACAACAAGATGAAGAAATTCATAAGGAAAAGAGGAGACCATTAGCTCCAATATCATCATCTCCAACAATAGCACCACCGTCAACCACAAGGACAAGAGGAATTCTTAAAAGAGGAGATAGTAAAGGCTCAATTTCGCCATCACGAGTTAAAATCCAAGGAAGTCCACACAAAGGAGCCAAAAGTAGTTTTAATATTGGCGAAAGAGTCAATGCCGATGATCTTGAAATCGAAGTCCTTGAACAGATTGGAAATAATTCTTATGTCTGTAGCTCTGTTGATGGTAGAAAATATTTTGTTAAAATTTGCCAAATGAATTCTCTTCTTAGGGAAATTGATCACAAAGAATTATTCTCTATACCAGAACCTCGTTATGAAACATATTTCCTTGTTCCATTCCTGAATATTCCATTTTCAAAAGTTGTTTCCATTATTACTTCGAAGAAAACAGACCAAACTGTTGCATTTTTCTTTTTGATGCAGCTTTGTAGAATTCTTTTTAGTTTGGAAAGCGCAAATATTCACCATGGTTCTATTGCCATTGAAAACATAATGTACAGAATTCCTGATGCCGAACTTCGTGCTTTCGATGATGGAGAGGAGTGGGCAGGTTGTGGATTGACTTTGACTAAATGCGATAAAATATCAAAAGGTAAAATTGAAGAAGAAAGAAAGTCTGCTTTAGAAATATTCCTTCAAATAGCAAATGGTAATGCAAAGAAAACAGATATGCCAAAGAGATGGAATAAAGAAATATGGGAAATGGCAATTTCTGTTTTAAGTCTTTCCAACAACGCTCCATCAATTAAAGCATTGGAAGGAAAGATTCTTACATTTTTAATAGAAAAGGGAGAAACAGTTAAATCTCAAATCTCTAGAATCAATGTTTCTCTTCTAATGGAATAGAAAGCATTGTATTATTTATTTGTTTTTTTGTAAATTTCAATTGTTAATTAAATATAACTTTTCTACTATCATTGATGATAAAAGGGCATACATGGGACATATACCCTCAAATTTTTACTTTTTCAATTTCCCTGAGATCAAAAATTTGATTATAACCAAGTCAGATTTTAGCATTTGTTCATCATAGTATTACCATTATAAAGGTTCTTTGATATCCTATACTTCCATATCATTGTTGATCCTATAATTTGAAAAAAATTCTCCATATTGAGTTGAAAAATAAAAATTTGAGGGTATATTCACTTGGAATGAACTTTTTTCCCTGACGTAATAAGAAAGAAGAAGAATGAATATTTGTAAGTTTTATAAAAGCGAATGTTTTAAACAATCAAAGCAATAAACAAACAAAAAAATATTGGATAATTAATTCCAAGCAGGAAAAGTGTTACCTTTTGGAATAATACATTGATTTCCTTTGAAAAAGATCTGGTTATTCTGGATCATCAATGAATACTTTGCTTTGTTACTTCCTAGATGGAAGTAGTGACAAAGAACAGGTTCAGTTAGATTTCGTCTTTTTGCTTCAGATCTCCAATTTATTTTTCCATCTTGATAGATTCCTCCTGCATTTACAGCAAGCATAGGATCAAGAACATGTATGTATATCTTAGAATTACTATTTTTAGATACAGAAACTAATCCATCTTCTGTATTCATAATTATTCTATTTAATTTTAGAGAATTACGAAAAGCTTTTTGATCAACAAGCTTTGGAGAATTATACATTAATGGGAACCATATTTGTATGATTTTTAAGACTTCTTCTGTTGGATAAACTTTGTAAAATCCAAGATTTACAGCCCATTTATATTCACTAGTATTATTAGTGTATTCATGATATATATCATAATTATAGAAGAATTTACTATCGGATTGTACTTCAAAATCTGTTTTTCTATTAAATATTTCATTTGGATTTTTGAAGAAAACGATATCTGCGTCTGAGAGTATTGTTTCAACATCCCATAGAAGTAACTGATGTAGAATTGTTGGTCTAAGCTTTACAATTTCATAAAACAGAATGATTTTCTGGTTATTTACGCAATCTGATGTAAAATTGGATGGTAAGTATATAGATGGTATATTCATTTGCCTAAGCTCTGTGTAAGACTTCTTATCAACTGCGATAATAATTATTGAATTTTTATTGAAACCAGTGCTTATTAAGCTGCAATACCAATTCTTAGCAAAGTGTATCTGCCCATGATTTGTTACAGTAAATATTACTTCATGACGATGAGATTTCTCGTTGGTTGGTGAATTTGTGACGAAGCAATATAGTTCTTGTAAAAAATCATGAGGTAATTCCCATTTTGAGTAACTAACGTTAATGTTTGCGGGAGTTGTTTTTGGATATTTTAGATTTTCACATTTGGGCATGATATTTATTGGGATATTTGTGGAATTTGTATTATAGATCATTATAAATACTAGAGAAACTCCCAGAAAAGCAATAAGTGTCCCTAGTATATATATAAGCTTCGAACGAATTGAAAAATGTTTCTTTCTAATTTTGAGAAAAAAAAATGTGCTTCGAAGGAAAATTTGAAATACTATGATATCATGAAATAGACAGCAATTCAATGTTATCCTACATTAAGCTTGTCGGACCTGTGATTTTTCGCCAGAACCGGAGATTCTTTCAAAAAATTTCGGGCTTCGGGGGATAAATCGCCCTCGGCCAAAATGCACATCAATTTATAGTTAGAGGTAATCAATTCTAAAAGGACCCCTTTTTCTTTCTAATTTTTTTTTATTTCAGAAGTCACTCAACTCAGGGTGCCCCATGGAGATTGAATCAAGGAGTAATAATGAAAATATAGATTATATTAGTTGAGCTTATATCATATGTGTGTGGTAATGAGTGATTTATGATAAAGAATTCAATGTTATTATTACATATTAACAAATTTATCTATATTTGATTATGAATGAATTTCAAACGATTTGGTATTAGGGGATGCTTTCTATCAATGCCAAAACATAAAATAAAATTTAAAATGGAGAAATATAAGCCAGAATACTTGAATAACTTGGTGAAATACCAAATAATGATATATAAAAATATGACTCTCCAATATAGAATGTTTCAAAGTAGGAAATGAGCTAAATAATTTGGTAAACTTTCCATGGGAAGGATTTGAAAAGATTTTGCTATAATAAGTGTATAATATATATGATAGGAAATTGATTAGAACATGAGTTTAAAGGATTAAACCTGGAAAAATAATTAGAATACATACTGAAATAATTTAAATTCTCAATAATTTCTTCAAACATGGTTCTTATACATCATATTTCTGAATGCTTTCTATTGCATAACACTAACAGGAATGACATTCAAAATAAAAAAAAATTGCATTAAGAATTATGCTCAAATGGAGAAATGCAGTTACATTTCTGATCATATCATACAATGCAATGTGTGCTGATATAACACTCAAATAAAACTTTTTTCATATTGAATACCTCAAATAAATTAAAATCTAATAATTATCATTAAAAAATTCTTGACTTAAAGGTTATAAAGTGTCAGTACCTTTTCTTTTTTGCTTATTTATCTGTTTATATCTTTAAAAAACTATCATTATATTTCATAGATTACAATTTGTGCGAATATATGAGTATATTTTAAAAATTTGTTAATTTATTGATGTGAAATGCATAATATCTACCAAATATATAGTTTTTGTACATTATGAAACAAAAGAATTATCATCATTTCTTTATTTCTGCAATAAATAACATGCAAATTTACTAAAATAATAATACCTTATATTATACTTGACATAATTAACAAATTTATAAGCAATAATGAATAATTCTATTGTTTAGACTGCTATATAAATATGCAAAATTATTTCAATAAAAAAATATTCATTTCCCCGAGCTGCCATATAATAAAAGATATATTTTAATACATAAATATTTCATTTATCATACTTAGAGGCAAAAATAAATCCCCGGAAAATCTCCGAATCTCCAAGATTCTTCCGGGGATTTATTTTTGCCTCTAATTATAATTAATACAATATACATACAATATACATACAATATACATACAATATACATACAATATACATACAATATACATACAATATACATACAATATACATACAATATACATACAATATACATACAATATACATACAATATACATACAATATACATACAATATACATACAATATACATACAATATACATACAATATACATACAATATACATACAATATACATACAATATACATACAATATACATACAATATACATACAATATACATACAATATACATACAATATACATACAATATACATACAATATACATACAATATACATACAATATACATACAATATACATACAATATACATACAATATACATACAATGCTATATCTTTTATCATATAATATATATAGGGAAATGAGTCAATGATAGTCAATTTGGAAATCGCAAAGAAATTCTTTCATATTCTTGAATTAATTATATATTATAATATTATGAATAGTGTAAGTCCTGCATTGATTATTAAATTTGTTCAAATTCATATTTCCCATTCATGCTACTAATATCAGATGATATTTTATAATGTATCCGTGTAAATATCACAAATATATACAAAATTAATGAGAAAACGGCAATAATTTTAAATCATTAAAAAAATATTTAGAAAGGGGTAAAAATCAAAAATCCGTCGAAGTTGATAAAAATTCCTAAAAATCGCCAAATTCGGAGATTCGTGGTGGTGATTCTTTTTATTTTGGAGATTCTGGACAAGCTTATTAATATCTATCTATTTACTAATCTTATGTTATATATTAAATAAAAATGATTTTTTATACTTGGGACAAAAGGCGTAAGTACCATGTGATATGAAATTGTGAGAATCTCATAGTATATTTTGAATATTTCTCTTAATTCAAAAGTGAACTTACGCCTTTTGACTCGCAGTTTGTATATAACATTTTTATTTTTTAAAAGAAGATCCAAAATTGAGAGAAGGAAATTGTAAGAACTTTGTAAGATTTGTCTTATTCGACTTCTATACTCAACACTTACCAGTAATCATTGATATTTGCACCATGTGAAATAAGAAGTTCAGCTGTTTCTTTATTATTATAATATGCTGCAATATTAAGAGCGGTTTGTCCATATTTATCTTTTTCATTGATATTTGCACCGTGTGAAATAAGAAGCTCTGCGATCTCTTTACTATTATTTTCTGCTGCAATATGAAGAGTGGTTTGGCCATATTTATCTTTTTCATTGATATTTGCACCGTGTGAAATAAGAAGCTCTGCGATCTCTTTACTATTATTTTCTGCTGCAATATGAAATGCGGTTTCTCCATTATTATCCTTTTCATTGATATTTGCCCCATATGAAATAAAAAGTTCTGCTGTTTCTTTAATATTATTTTTTGCTGCAAAATGAAGAGAGGTTTTTCCATTATCATCTTTTTCATTGATATTTGCTCCACGTGAAATACATTCATCACCTCCTTCATTATTGTTGACTATAATTTGATTGTATGACTCTAGTAATAATCTGCCAATATTAGAATTTTGCGCTTTACATGCAAAATAAATAATTCCAAATTTAGTGTGATTATGTTTGTTAGAAAATGTATTGTTTTTGAAAATATCTATTGTTTGCGAAAATGCAGCACCCCATGGAAAGATGTAATATTTGTTCCTTTTGAATAGAAGAAATACAGCATTAAGGTTTTGATATCTGATGATATCTTCATAAACAGGTTTATAGCTTGTATCATTCATCCAATTCTCTTCTTTTCCATACTTCCAAATCTCGCCATAAAAATTATCAAGTTCGAATATCTCTCTCTCTAAAACATATTCAAGCAATTTGTGATTGTGTGTTCTTATAATGCTTCTGAGACAATCAATATCCATTTTATGTTCTTTCAAGCATTCGTTGATGATGTCTTGATTTCCTCCAATTAATGCGCTGCAAAGACAATTTTCAGTTATTTCACTAATATGATTTGAAGTTAAGAAATAAAAAATGTTAACAGATCCAAAGTATGCACATGCTTCAATTAGAGATAAGACTGCAAAATAACCCTTATCGAAAGCATTGTTCCTGAAATTAGGAATTAGGAAATAAACGTCATCCGGTATTGAATTTTGAGTTAAATATTCCTTGAACTTATCAATTTGATCATGCATAACTATAAATTTAATCGAACCCTCCGTTTCAAAATGGTAATCTGAAACTCCGGTTAGGTAAGCCCCGATCTGTTCGAGTATTTTGACGTAATTCGCTCCGGATGCATAATTGTATCTAATTGCCTCATGAATTAACTTTGTAAGTTGCTTGATTGAAAGTTGATACTTTGAAATTAAAGTATTTGTAATTATACTGCACATATCTTCGATAGGTTCATTAGATTTTATGTGGAAGAGCTTTTCAAGCGCCCCTATAAAATCCGCATATTGTTTAGAATAGTCAGAACTCATAATAAAAAAAAAAATTGACTAGTCAAAAATCTAGTAATTGACTATTTTAAATCATTAAGAAATACTTAGAAAGGGGTAAAAAATCAAAAATCCGTCGAAGTTGATAAAAATTCCTAAAAATAGCCAAATTCGGAGATTCGTGGTGGTGATTCTTTTTATTTTGGAGATTCTGGACAAGCTTACATACATACCTTTATATTGGCCATTTTTAAAATTCATTACTGTTAACAGTTAAACTAAAGCGGTGAACCCTTAAGCATGACAAAGAATCTGTCATTTCCATGCAATGGCTTTAAAATATGCATTGCAAACGATTCCAATTCATTTATAGTCATAAATCTCATGACGAGAATTAATTTTGTTTCAAAATAAACTTATCTATTTGGGAAACTCAGTAAAATAGCTAAATTTCGCCGAAACTTTGCTTAAAAATATTATGATTCATGACATCATGTAAATAAAAAACATTTCACTAAAATATTACATATTTAATTAATTATTCTTGATTTTCTTCTGCGTCGAGATCTGCGAGGTAGTGCTCAGCAAGAAGTGCTGCCTGGCATCCTGTTCCAGCAGAAGTAATTGCCTGCCTGTAAACTTTGTCTGCGCAGTCGCCAGCAACGAAAACTCCTGGAACTTTAGTTCTTGGAGTTCCATCTGTAATGAAATAACCACCTTTGTCTCTGTCAAGTTGTCCCTCGAAGATAGATGTCTCTGGGAAATGGCCAATTGCCACGAAAAGTGCAGAAACTGTGTGATTTGTTAATTCATTGGTCTTAACGTTCTTAACCTGAACGCCTGTTACGAAATCTTCGCCAAGAACTTCATCAATAACTGTATCATAGATGATTTGTACTTTGGAAGCAGCCAATCGCTTCTTCATTGGGTTGGAAGCACGAAGTTCATCTCTTCTATGGAATAACTTGACAGTTCTGCAGATTTTTGCTAAATATAATGCTTCTTCAGCGGCGACATCACCACCTCCGACTATGGCGACGTCCTGGTTAGAGTAAAGAGCACCATCGCAAATAGCGCAAGCACTGACACCTCTGTTCTTCAATCTTTCTTCGCTTGGAAGACCTAAGTATTTGGCTTTGGCGCCTGTAGCGATAATCAATGATCTGCATTTGTATCCATTGCCATCATAGGATTCCAGTCTTCTTGGGAAAACAGATAAATTGACTTTAACAATTGTATCTGTTAAGAATTTAGCTCCATTTCTAATAGCTTGCTCCTTCATTGCATCAACAAGCTGTGGACCTGTTCCATTGAAGCTTGGGAAGTTTTCAACTTCGGTTGTATAAACTAATTGACCTCCTGGTACATCGCCATGTAATACAACTGTATTGTAACCTGCTCTTGCAGCATATAAGGCAGCTGTGCAGCCGGCTGGTCCACTGCCAAGGATAATAACATCAATTACAGGAACTTCATCCCAATTAATTTCTTTTGGAAGTTCCAAGTCGTCATCAAGACCCCATCCAAAACCATCTGATTCATCATCATCTTCGCATGAAGCTCTGAAGAGCAAGAAAGGAAGTAAAATTGGAAGCATATTATGAAAAGTGCCATTTATATTTGGCTGGATAGATCATTATGTATACCGTTACCGTCGAAAAACTAATCAGCATGAGGTATGTACTATAATTTTTCATTGATCCTAATGCTGATTTTAATATTGAAAAAAATGTTATTCAAATATAAGCTCTTTCTTAAAAAAAGTGAAAGAAATATTAGTGTGGTTAACAATACTGCTGGAAAAGCACAAATTTACTCAAACATTTTTGCAATTCTAAAAAAAATTATCTAAAATAAAGGTATAAAATGACGCAGTATCATTAAATAGCAAAATTTGTTTCAACAAAATCTTTTCAATGACATTTTTTACAATACAAGGTTCTCATTAATAACGATTAATTCGTTAACAGCGACATCTTCATAAGTTCCATCTGGAAGAGTACGACGAATGATAAGTGGTGTCTTCTTTTGCTTTAGTTCTTCTTCAGCAATGTTCAATGGATCAACTTCTGAGCCAATATCAATTTGAACTGGAGCTCCGTTAGCAATTTGCATGGCTCTGATACCAAGAACACGTGCCTTTTCGTATTTTGTAAGATATTCTGTTGTGTTAATTGGTTTGTATAAATGTGTCTGTGTTGAAGATTCCATCGAAAAAATTTGAATGGAAATTACAAAATGGCCAAGCATTGCTGAATAGAGAACAAATCGATAAATAAATGAGCATAATATACTATACAATAGGAAAGAAGCAAAATTAACGGAAGAATAGCTCCTTCTTGAACGTTCTACGTTTGAATTCTTCGGCCAATAATATTAAAATCTTAAAACAGTCAATTTAAGTTCGTATCATATTACATAATGATAAGATGTTTGTTTGAAATACAGTTTATACGAAATAGCCAAAATCATAAATTATATACATGGTACAATGATAAGGAGTGTAAATGCACATGCAACTAGCCTTATTTAAAGCAAATACATGAATGATAAAATGTGGCTAATAATATACACAAAATAAAATGATTTCAAAGCAATCCTTTGTCTAAATAGGAACTCTTCACACTTTTGATGAGTTAATGGAGAATGTGAGAATAAGTAGTGTGAGTTATTTCTATAAAATCATTATTTTGAGTGTGTTACATCAATATCGCTGAGTAAAATAGTTGATTCAAGATAAAATAATTGATATGGAATAATACACTCCTTATGTTAAACTAAGTTATATGTAATATGGATCCTATTCTTACGAAATTGAAATTTTCTTCAAATTGGAATCAAGATTTTACATGAAATTTGAAGAAATATTTAGGCCTTAAATGCGATTACAACTAAGGTTGATTCATGTTCTCAAGTTTTTGGATGATGTCAATTTTTTTTACAAAAAAGAAATGATAGAGCTAAATTATAATTGGATTATAGATCTTGTCATTAAGGATGCTGAAATACATGATGGTGTAAATCATTCCAATACACCAATTTGGTTTGTTGTTATTGCAGATGGAGTTCCACAACCGTTTTCAACACCACAAGTACAAAATTCGAAAAATCCCACATGGAATTATCCAGCAAGATTAGTTCTGAAATCACTAGATATATCTAAATCGTTTTTATACGTTGCATTATGCACATCTGGACCAAATAATGTTAATATACCGCTATGTAGTGCAAGAATTAGCTTAAGAAACTTACCTATTGGCTCTCCGAAATCATTTAAATTCCCTTTAATGCTTACAAATAAAGCAGATACAGAAGCATGCACAGTCAGATGCGCGGCCACTCTATCTAGCTTCACTCCACAAGTGTACTTGCAGCCATCTATTAATAGACCAATGATGACCGGTGGTATGCAACAAATGGGCGGATATGCACAACCAATGAATAGGAATTTTGGCTATTATTAACTTTATTTTATTTATCTTAGAGATATTTCTTTGTATTCATATTTTTATCTTATAAATTGTTTTATATGTTTGAGATTTAATTTTTTTTTTATTATCCATTTTTGTTAGATTTTCATAGGATATTTCTTTGCTCTATGCAAATCTTTACTGTGATATGTTAGCTTATGGTGCAAATAAATGCAATGATTATCTCCAATTTGCATTTTTATCTTTTTTTGAATGATTTTAACTTCAAAATGGCATCGAATTCTTCACACCTTTTACGGACGTGCTATTTTTCTTTCAAGCCATCAAACAAGTCCAAAAAGTTGTACGTTAAAGATCCAAAATGTCTGACTTTGCTGACCTTATTAGAGCTCTTACTTCAACAAATGAAGAACTCAGAATCCCAAATCAACAATTATATATGCAGAAAGAAGCCGAAAATCCTGTTGAATGCATGGCAAACTTACTTTCCATTCTGAATTCGGATGATTTCCATGATATCACAACTCATTGCTTTATTTATCTATATAGAATAACATCAGTAATCTCTGCGCAGGATAATTTTGAAATTATTCCCCCTGAAATTGTTGATTTATTGAAAACAGTCTTAATTAAATACATTCAACTTCCAGTTTCACAAAATTCAGTTGCTATACGCCACGCATATCTTATTCTCCAACAATTTGTTATATTTTTCACTACAATTCAACCGGCCGGAGAAATTTTAGAAGCAGTTCATTCTCAGATACAAACAAGTAACCAAGCTCTTGCTATTACTTACATATGTTACTATGCTTCTATTTTTACAGGCACAGACAATGGTGAAGCAATTTTCCAAAATCTTATTGCTTTGTTCCTTCTAGAGAGCTCTTCAACAGAAACTTTTGCTGAACAAATACATCTTTACATGCAACTTCTAAAACTATCTCCAAATGTCTTCGAAGAGGATTTAATGAATCGCTGTGCTTCTCTGTTCATTCAATTAATCAATTCTCCAAAGCCAGGAGATTATGCCTTTGCAACAGCATTAAGGTATTTCAAAGATAGCCTTAAGATGATGAGCGAGGAAGAAATCTCAATGTGCGCACCAATTATTGTTCGCTTATTCTCAGTTTTTTCATCGGAAACCGCCTTAGATTCTCAAAAACTTGAACTTATCGATAACTTTGTTGAAATTACTAAGTTTTATGGTGTTACTGAAATCATAATCGAAAACCTCGAGGAGTTCGGACAGCGTTGCATAGCATTTATTCAAAAATGTGGAGAATCTCAATCAGAACTAATTGAAAACATTAATGATTTATTAACAACACTTTGCGAAGAAGATGATTTCCATGAAAAGTTAACAGAATTGTTCACTCAATATCTTGAAAGCGAAAATCTTTATATTGCTTCAAGTATGCTCAGAATCTTATATCCAACTGGTTACATTTTGCAACTTTTCGAATTATTAAAAGTTGAAGATAGATATATAGTTGAAAATGCTCTCGTTGCAATTGAAGCTGTATTAAATCATCATTTTGAAAAGGAGACTGAGCTAAATGAAGATAATTTGCTGGCTATATTCAAAGGATTATATGAAATCATTTCGGATGAATATTATGAACTTGCTTTGAAAGCAATTGCAACACTCTTGGACGGTGCTGTTGCATTCAAGCTTCATGACTTCATTGTTTCTATTGCACAAGATGTTTTACAGATACTCAGTTCTTATTTCACAGTTGATTCTGTTCACCTTGCAGCTGCAATTGCAATTGCATGCCCATCAGATATGTCTGATGTTGCAGCTCAGATCTCTACAAGGCTTTTAGAATCAATTGAAAATGAAGAGGAACACTTAGATGGTCTTAACATCTTATCATTAGAAGGTAACTTCTTGCGTTGTATGGACGATTCTATGAAGCTCGAATTTATGGATAATCTTATTAGACTCACTGAGAAATATCCTGATATTGTTACAAGCGAAGGATTTGGCTTTTGTATCAAAGCAGTAGGCCAAAACATGACAAACTTCATTGATATTGTCATGCCAAAGCTTATTGAAAACAGTTCCAAGGATCCTGCAATTGCCTGTGACTTCAATATTTCTAACTCTGATTCAGTGATGGCATTCCAGATTCCTGGTTCAGCAAAGAACCTTGTTGTTAGAAGTGAAGAAATTGTTGAAATTACTAATTCAATTAAGAACCTTGCTAAATTCATCAAAGTTGTTGGAAGAAGTGTTACTGATTACAATAAAGAGCTTAATACAGTTGTTAGCAAGACACTTTATCAAATGTTAGATAAGGATATCAGAATTGCTTCCATCAAACTTATATCTGTAATTTCAGTTGCTTTTCCAGAAACTGCTGCTCAGTATGCAGCTTATATCCATTCTTTCTTGCTTGGCTCAGAGGATGATGAGGATGGATGTGTTGCCGAACCAGAGAACGTTGTTAGAATGAAATGTCTTCATAAAATTTCTAAATTAATCGAGAAGGAAGCTGTTCCAATTGAATATGTTTCTGCAATAGCAGATATTCCTGCACAAATAATCAATATGTGTGCAAAGGAAATTATTGGCGAAATTAACAATAATTCATTCTCTGACAATGTTTACAGAGAATACTTAGATACTGTCTGGGAAACTTTAACAATTATGAAATCTATTGAAAATAGAAATCATGAAATTGCTATTATTGCTTTCCAGCAATGCATTTCAGCTCTTGAAGATAATAATCTCTCAGAGCACACTCCACTATTTGATATTATTCGAGCAGGATTGCTTGCAGATTTCTTAGAAATAGTTCCTGAGTATGAGCATTTTGATTCAGCATTCAAGCAACTCACTGATGGAATGATGTCAACAAATGAAAATGTTAGACAACTTTCATTGTATGGATTCGGCAGAGCTGCAACAAAGCTTGATGTAAAGGAAGATGTTTTGGATGGATTCTTATCAATCCTTGCTGGAGCAATCTCCAATGAAGACACTAAGGAGGAAAATTATGCTTTAGGAAATGAATGCGGTCTTTCATCCTTATGTCTCATTCTTGAAAAGAGAATTACAGTTACAGGAACAGCAAATGGAATTGAAGGATACATTCAATTCCTGGCAAATAATCTACCTGTATATAGAGATGATGATGAGTCAGAAATTGTTTATAGATTCTTATATAATTTAAGGAACAATTCTCGTGCTTCTCAAATGGTTAGAGACTTTTGCGACCAGCTATTAACTTCATGCGAAAATATGGATGTATCAAGTGATATTGTTTCAAAAACAATTCAAAAATGTCAATCTGCATAGAAATAAATTTTATATATTATAACTAAGGTCCTTTTTTTAATAAAGAAACATAATAAGAATTAATTTCTTCAATTTGCCAAAATTTCTTTGAAACTCTTTCAATGATTTTGATATGTAACATATGACTGATTTTCTTAAGTTATTGTGTATATTTTGTTCTGAAATTTCACAAAATTTTGTTTGAAAGTTGGATAATCAGGATGAACATCTTAAGATGCATTTTGGTTTCAGATATATGCTTAAATGATTCAGATAAAATAGTTTATTAGATATCATGAGAAAAATATATTAGCGAACTTAAGAACAATTTAATTTTTTAAGTAGTGATTAAATCCATCCAAGAAGGATGCTTTAATTATGATGTTTTAAAGAGAGCCTATTCAAGAAAGAATTTGTTTTGATTACGATAAGTACTTTAAAATTAACCAAAAATGAAAATAAGACGTGTCATTTTAGTGTTAACTTAGATACGAGCGCAATCTTAGCTATGTTAACAATCGGACAAAAATAAAATATTAAATCAAGTTTAATTGGTATACAAGGCATTACCAAGACAAACCTAATATAGTTTTGATAATGCGACATAAGAATCTTGTACGTTAATATGTAAATTTCCTAATTGAATACTGAAAAACAAGAAATCATGAGGAAACAATGATTGAAATATCAACGAACTGTAATTACCTACATAATAATCTCAGCTGCTTTGCTGCATTTGATGAGGGTAATGGATATTTTATTAGGAAAGTCTGATGAATGACACTTTTAAAATTTCAGAGCATTTTGTGAATTTTTATTTATTAATGTTCTAGCTATCAAATAACATCGAAACCTTAAAAATCTTTTTCAGAAAATTTCAAAGACATCTAATTTTAATCGTTACCAACAGTCTCAATAGAAAATAGGTGATATAAAAAAGGTGCGCAGAAAAAATTTTATTGCTTTTTTATAAAATGTTATTTAACATCATTGAAGAAAGAATTGCATAAAAAAAACTTGGTTTCGAAATAACGATTACATTCAATTTATCGAATAAACATGGGCTTTGACTATAGTACATTCATAAATAAGCTCAACGAATTGGATGATGATGCTGACTGTGCATTAACACGAGAACAATTCACACAATTACTTCATGAAATGCCTATTTCAAAAAAAGAAAATTTCATTGAAACTTGCTACATGGGTTTAAAGACTAAAAAGAAAACGGTTCCATTTCAATCAATCAGAAATCTTTATGAATCGAGCCAGCCAACTTTACTGAATAAGAATATGTTATTAATCTTGTTCAGAGGAGTTTCAAAAAAGAAAGAACTGTTTTTAGATAAAGAGAGTTACCTTAAAATTGCTACATTAGCTCTTGAAGACTTCAATAAAGATTTATACGAGCAGAAATTTGCTGAGCTTGCAGAAACAGATACTCAAAAGATATCGCATAAAAATGTTGCTCTATCTGTTTTTGGAATACGCGTTGGATCCAAAGATGATCCTTTTACAGAATCAATTCAAGTTAGATCACCTCATAGCGCATGCTGCTTACTTATTTAATGTTTGTGATTGTTAGTAAACATTGTTATGTACTGATTATTCTAACATGATTTTATCTCAACTCGTTCAATAATTCTAATTCTGATAATTCTAATTATTTTTAAGACAAATGTGAAGAATGCATTATAATGAAATGCAATTGATTTGCATTTTTTTATCAACGGAATTAAAATATCAAGAAAAAGGAGTAGTGAGCAGTTTCTTATGTATAATAGTGTATAAACATGTGATATCTTTATTGTAAAGCAAATTTTCCAGGATATGACTGATGATTTTTTTTTGGGTCGTATTAGCTTTTAGGATTGGACATGTTAGTTGGTGCCTAGATTGAAACAAATTTAATGCTCTTGATCAATCGTTTTTCTTTTTCTCAGATAATTAGTGTTTTGATGCAATTTAGCGATAAGGTTTGCCATCCATTTAAGTAATATTATTTTAAGCAAATCTTCAACGAAATATGGCTATTTTACTGAGTTTTTCAGATTGATAAGATTATTTTGTAACAAAGTTCACTCTTGTCATAAGATTTGTGACTAAATATGAATGAGAAAGAATCTTTTACAATGTATTATAGAGTAATAATAGTGTTTAAAATAGATTGTGTCACCTTTTTACTCCAAAATGAAAAATTTTCAACACGAATGGTGTGCCAAAATACTTGAAAAACTCGATAAAAAACCAACATCCGGACCATTTAAAAATCCAGTTCCTCTTGATAATAATCCAAGATATAATGAAATCGTTAAATTTCCAATGAATTTAGAGCAAGTTAAGCTTAGCCTTCAAAACGATAAATACCATAAAATTATGGAATTTGCTGCAGATGTTAGATTAATATGGTACAATGCTATGTGCTATTATCCTCAAGATGATCCAAAATACATTATAGCTATGGATTTATCAAAATGGTTTGAAAACAAATTGCAAAACTATCCACAAAATGTCAACGAGCGATGGATGATGAAATTTAAAAAACTGCATGCGAGAATCAAGAATTTACTTAACAATCCAATTCCATCAATGCCATCAATTGATTATCAACCACCCGAAATTCCACAGAAGAAGGATTCTACTGAAAAAACCGAAGAAACTCCAAAAGAACCAGCCAAATAATTTTGCTTTTATAGATATCCTTACTATTCAAATATATAATGTTTCGAATTTTATTTGCCAGCTTTATTTCTATATTAATGGCTTGTTTTAACTTTGTAAATAATTTTGATACAATTTATTATAAAAAATGTAATTCTCATATAACTTTTTAATAGTTTCTATTAATATTTTTCAATAGTATTAAAAATTAAAGAAATCATAAAAAAAAATTATTTACCAATATAGTCATTTTGATGAGTGAACTCAAGTTATAGAGAATAATTTCATAGTTTTTATAGCATGAAAGAGATATTGGACAGAATACTCTTTAAATTACACAAAATGTAAAATTTGTACATCAAGCATGTTTATATTTCAATCACAATTATATTTATTACTCAGAATGGAGGAAAAAACAAACAAAAGATATAAAGAGACTTAAAGTTCATAAACTTTGTGCTCAAATATAAATATATATTCAGGATGGATTGCTATATTCAATGAAAACGAGCTATCTGGATGTAGATTATTGACTTAAGACACTTAAATACACAAGCATATAACGTTTCTTTTTGTACAAATGATTGAAATAAAGATTTCATATATATTGGAAGAATCTAGAGTTTTCAATCAAACTACAATCTTCCATAATCTGATTTGTAATAGTTTTTTCTTCTCAATTTGAAATAATATTAAAAAATAAAATTCGAAATTAATTTGAAATATTATATAAACATATTTAATGCTGAACATTAGCTACTTTTGATTCTAGTAAAGTGCAGTACCCTTCTAATTTAGAAATTGTATCTTCGAGAGTTGTAATATCGGCTTCGATGACAGATAAATTACTGAGAAATGAAGCAACGCCGATTTCTTGCTCTTGGAGTGCTGATGCTTTTTCTTTTAATGAGGAAGCTTCATCAACAAGTTCACCATATTTGCCTATTGCAGCCTGGTTAAGCTGGAAGACAAGTTCAAAGTTGTCTGAAAGTTCTTCAGCTTGAAGCTGCATATATTCAGCAATATTCTTTGTAAGATCTTCAGCAGCTGTTTTGATTGGAGTTGTCTTTTCTTCACTCATTTATGAAATAAACTTCTCAAATTTATTCTGCAAAAAAAGTTTTCATGTAGCTGATGTGTGAAGACTTATGAGTTTGTTTGTTATGGGAGGAACTTGAAAACTAATTGTTGAATTTAAAATGGGAACGTGATGGGATTGAAGTGTTTTTGAGTATGTATGAAAAATGCTATGAGTTATGAATTCAATCAATGATGAAAAGTGCTACATAAGATTTTAAGATATCTCTCGATGTGCAATTCCAGAATCATAAAAGAAATATCAATTTTATGGAGAAAATTAACTATGACTAAGCTGCACATACATATATTTGTGCATAAATATCGCAGTGAAATCATATATCTTGTTATATTGCATATTTATCGCTAATCCAAATTATTTGAAAATAAGAAACGTAAATTCATTTAAATGCATGAGATAAGGCTATGCATTCCCTGTGCAATATTATTAAGCAATTTATTATTCGGAGTTTCGAGAGGATGAAGTATCGGGAAAACAAAAACAAAAAATTTCCCATTAATCCAATGGTATTTTATCTGCATTTGCATAGACTAGTGTATTCCGAAATTTACTTGTCAAGTGTCCTGCATTTTGTAAAAAAAAATTTTCTCGAACATTTCTCCTCACAAAACTTGGTCGGAAAATATTCAATTAATTGTGAGTATTGAAATATCTTCCGATACCTATCTAATACTTATCTTAAGCATATAACATTTTCATAATTATTTCTTTGACTGATCCATCTCTCAATTACTTTTTAAGTGCTGTTATGAGCTTATCGAACGAAGAGCTCTGGCACTTAATAGAAAACCAAGACAATGATGCCTTGAATAAACTCATGGGAGTACAAGGAATAGCTAGAATGCTTGACACAGATTTAAAGAAAGGAATAAATTCTACCACAATTCAAAGCAGAATCTCAAAATTTGGTTCAAACCAGCTCCCAGATAGGCCAATACGTTCTTTTTGGAGCATGTTGAACGAGGCACTTAAAGATGGAACAGTCCGTATTTTGATTGTATGTTCCATTCTTTCGCTTGTATTAGAATTTATGTTTGCACCAGAGGAAGAAAAATCTACTGCCTGGATTGATGGAGCTGCTATTTTCGCAGCTGTTGTAATCGTTACTGTTGTTCAAGCCACTCAAAACTTAAAACAAGAGCAGCAATTTGCTGCCGTAAACAGAATCAAATCAATTTACGATGTAGCTGTTATTAGAGATGGCGAAATTCATCAAATACAAAATCATCAGCTTGTTGTTGGCGATATTGTCGAAATACAACAAGGAGACTGCATACCAGCAGATGGTCTTGTTATTACATCAGAAAACCTTAAGATTGACCAGTCCACAGCAAATGGTGAGTCGGAAGCTATCGTAAAGAGCGAAAAGGATCCATTTTTAATCAGTAATACGCATGTTGTAGAAGGTTGCGGTACTTTTTTGGTCATTTGCGTTGGTCTCAACTCTCATCATGGAAGAATTTTCGCTTTAATCAACTCCGAAATCGAAGAAACTCCATTACAGGTCAAGCTGGAAGCACTTGCCGAAAAGATTGGCCTGGTCGGTATCATCGTTGCCAGCTTAACCTTCATTGCATTACTAATTCAGTGGATTATCAGTCAAGTTAAGTTTGGATTCGAATGGGCTCACTGCAGAGAACCTCTTACATACTTTGTTATCTCAATTACTATTGTTGCATGTGCTGTTCCTGAAGGTCTTCCTTTGGCTGTTACAATTTCATTGGCATATTCAATGAATCAGATGATGGCTGATAACAACTTCGTTCGTAGACTCAGTGCTTGTGAAACAATGGGCTCTGTTACAGTTATTTGTTCAGATAAGACAGGTACTCTTACAGAAAACAAGATGAACGTTGAAAGAATAGCCATTGGACCAATATTCCTCAATGTACCTGACTTAGACAGCTCAAATATTGATGAAGAGCTTCTTTTGCTCATAAGAAAATCAATTTCAATCAATACTCAAGCAGTTTTGACAGACCAAGGCTCAATTGGATCCCAAACAGAGTGTGCATTACTTAGATTTGTCAGTCGCATCCATGGCAACTACCAACAACTAAGAATTGCCTTTCCTCCTGTTATCAGATTCTTATTTGACAGAGATCGTAAGAGAATGTCAACAGTTATACCATGGAATGGCATGTACAGGACATTTGTCAAAGGTGCACCTGATGAAATCATCAAACTCTGCACAAATTTCGTCCTTCCTGGTGGAAAACTCATCACATCTCCTGTTTCTGATGATTTTAAGCAGCAATTCATGATTGCTGTTAACTCTGAAGGTGAGAAAACATATAGAACGCTATCATTAGCATACAAAGACACTCATGATTTACCACAAACATGGGAAGATGCCGAGAAAGACCTTACTCTTCTCTGCACAGTATCTATAAGAGATTCCATTCGTCCAACAACCATTTCTTCCATTGACCAATGCAAGAAAGCCGGAATTAAAGTCATAATGATCACAGGTGACCATTCAACAACCGCCGAAGCCGTTGCAAAAGAATGCGGAATCTTAGTTCCAGGAACAAGAGTCATTCTCGGCAGCGAAGTCCGTAAAATGGCCAAAAGTGACTTAATTGCAGCTCTTCCAACAATTTCTGTTGTTGCAAGGTCATCACCCATGGACAAGCACTTGATTGTTTCCGCTCTCAAAGCTGCAGGAGAATCAGTTGCTGTCACAGGTGATGGAACAAACGATGTTCCTGCAATGATGGCAGCGGATGTCGGTTTGTCAATGGGTAAATGTGGTACAGAACTAGCGAAAGAAGCATCAGACATTGTTGTCTTGGATGATGATTTCAGATCAATTGTAAAAGCTGTTGTTTGGGGAAGATGCGTTTATAATAACATCAGAAGATTCTTACAATTCCAATTGACAGCTAACGTTGTGACACTTTTTGTATCGTTTTTGTCAGCTGCTATTTTGAATGAGACACCATTCAAAGCTGTCCAATTATTATGGGTTAATTTGATTATGGATTCTTTAGGAGCTTTAGCACTTGCAACAGGAAGACCTGATGAATCATTATTGAGACAAAAACCTGAGAAGAAAGATGCACCTTTAATTGATAGTTTCATGCTAAAGAATATCATTGGACAAAGTGTTTTGCAGATATTGTTGATTGGATATGTTTTGTTGTTCCCTTACCAGGCTGAACAATATTCTATGAAGCATTACACGTTTTTGTTCAATGTTTTCGTTTTGTGCCAAGACTTTAATTTGGTTAATGCAAGAGTTTCATCAAAGAAGATGAAAGTTACTGATGGAATTCAAGATAACTATTTGTTCTTCATAATTCAAATTGGTATCATGATTGTCCAGATTTTGTTGATCCAAATTGCTGGTGTTTACATTTATTGCGCCCCAATGACAATGATTGAATGGATTTACTCAACATTTTTAGCTGCTTTGACATTGCCAATGGGCGCATTCTTAAGAGCTGTTCACTTCGAAAACTATATAGACAAGATTACAAGTAGAAGAGGTGCAAATAGAAACTTCGAACAATTATAAATTTATAATTAGTTTTACTTTTTTTATTATTTATTTTCATATTTTTCCAGAGCCATAGACAAAGAATATATTACTTCATATCTTATTGAACAAAAATTATTACATTTGAAAGAAATGACTTCTTCGGGTGTAATATGATCATCTATGTTCCTTCATCTACTTTTAAAACCTGATATAAACCAGAAAATTCACCTTCAGGGTTACAACGAAAAAATATTTTGATTTTCTTTGGGATATATGAATATGACTTAAATTAATAAGGTTTCAGGGCGGAATTAAGTTAAATTATGTAAAAATCGTCTGAATATCATCAAAACATTTCAATATTGAAATGAAATCACTGTTTTAAAATGAAAATATGAAGTAAATAAGATGGTAGATTTCTATAAGCTGGATTATTTATTCCAAACCATTGAAATGGTTTTATAAATTTACTCTTCTGTTGGACGCTCTGTTGGAGCAAGGGAAAGCTGAGCGGCATCCTTGGAGATCTTGAGTGTCTTGACCTGCTCGTTGGAGAGAGCTGGGGCCTTGATGACCTTGACCTTTGTGATGTAGACACTTTCGATCTGGCAGATCTGCTTGCACTTATCGACGATTTCGTTCTCGATCTTCTCATCGACGAAGTCCTTGCAAAGCTGCTCAACGCCGTTGGCCTCGCAAGCGTCTGTGAGGGCCTTGATCATGACATCACGGACCTGGCGAGCCTTGTGGGAGTTGGCGTATGTGTGGTTCTTGTGGGAGTTAGCGAGCTTCTTTGTGAAGCCGATTGTGAAGAGGCGGAGGATGAAGCCATCAGCTGTCTTGGCATCGACGGAAGCATCGATCATTGTGCGGTACTTTCTCATGATGGAGTCGAGCTTGTCGTGTGTAAGGCGCATGCCGGCGAACTGTGTGTAAACTTCAGAACCAGCAGCGATGGATCTCCAGGAGAAGAGTCTGTAAGCGTGGGAAAGATCGTTGACCATGTCAGCGTGTGAGAGTTCCCAAACGCGGTTGTTGACGTAGTCCATTGGAACACGGCCACGAGCGCACTTGTTGGAAACTGTAACACCGATGTCACGCTTGCCTGTGAAGTAAGCTGGAACAAGAACGTGGCGCCATTCCTTCTTGATGAAAGAATCTTGCTTTATCTTCTTAGATGTCTTAGGACGTTGCTGCTTGGAAGCACCCATTTCAAAGGCAGACCAAACCGTTTCAACCGATTCATGTATTCAAATTTATTTTTTATTTAATAATATTAAAGATATCTAGATATATAATATAAATCATTTATTCTGTGTTGATTTCCATTCAAATTTCAAATTGTGGATCATAGATTCGATCAATTCACATGGTCATTAATTGATGAAATATATGCTTTTTGAATAAAAATTAAATCCACAAAAGAATTAAGATATTTCGCTAAGTTTATTTAATTGATTTATAATACCCAGATTTGCTTTACTTTTACCACCTCTCGAAAGCTGGGGACACCGCCTATCGTTGGGAGTAGCTATTAAATAGAACCACCAAGGGTATTTTTCGAACTGCCGGTGTAGTGGAAACATCCGACATAATGATTCATTATGCCAAGGTTTGATTCCCATTTAGCCAATTTTTTTTCTTTTTTGGATCATGAATTTTTTTTTGGGTCACTATAAGATTTGTTTCATGTTCTAAATCTGCTGCATATGTAATCTATTTTTATTTACCTATTTTTTAAAAATCTATTGGATTGCCAAATTTGAATATATTTAAAATCATAAAAATCCAAAAAAAACTATAAATATATGTTTTATGCATAGTGCCGATACTCAAATATCAGATTACTTAGATCCATGAATAATATCCGAATTTTTTTTCTTAAAATTAAACTTCAAAACTTCTTCCAATCTTATTCTTAATCAATTGTAAATTTTTAAAACCATTTTTTAAAATAATTTTGCGTAAATTTTATTCTCATGTTGTTTTAATCGAAAATTGATACATTTTCAAAAAAATAATATTGACTTATGAAATTCATTTTTAAGGTGAAATAGTATTGTTTTTATTAAAGTATATGAATAATATATAAAAAATTAATGAATAATATAAGCAGATTTTTAGTTTACAAAACAAATATGAGCAATGCAATTTCAAACTTTTGCTGGCAATTTCGATATTGCTCAAGTTTGTAGTATTTGTGATACCTATAACACCGGCTTAATCAAAATTCGATTTTTCTTATGAGTTATTGAGAAAATTTGATTGCAATGAGAAGGATTTCGACGTTTTTGATAAACTAAGAGCTGAGCTTTAGGGGTTCAGTTCATTTATGGCTGTAGTTTGATGCGTAGATCTCTTTTTTATTGTAAATTCTTTCAGCATGGAGATCGAGAATGAATCTTTTGAGAACTTTATGAGTTTTTACACCCGTAAAGAGGTCCTTCGAGGAAAGATAGTCCAGACTACATGAAGATGTGGGTTAACCAAAAAAAGCCGATGGTTTCCCCATATTCATGTAGATCTTCGAAAAAATGAGCACCAAAAAAGCCAAAAAAATAGGCTTTTTATTGGATTTGTACACTAGATCAATAATCTATTTAGGATCTGACACTCTTTTTAGCCAGAGATATGAGGTCCTTTCTAGGAAAACGATCTATTCATCCATAAAAAAAATGAATTATCGTTTTCCCCAGAAATTACATGGGGAGTGGTAAAAGTAAAGCAAATCTGGGTAACTTGATTGGTCAGAAATCTGTAATCATTACATTGTCTGGAAATAATTGTGAGATATACACCATCAAAAACTGTTCCAGTCGTATTATCAATATACGTATTATTCGATGGATCATATGATGGTGGGATCCGGAGGTTCAGATGTATATTCTATAAATTAAACCATTAAATTTTATATCATGAAAACCGCAAACTTTTTCCCCGAGAATTTCTTATCGAAAAGTGACAAATAGCAACGTTGTCTCTATCTCTAATTTTTGGCGCCATTTTTAAAAAATGATTTTTTGGAATTTTAATGACATTTATAATATATGCGTGCAATTAACTTTTATTTTTTTACTTGTTGCAATTAGCTATCTTTATTCTAATGCAAAAATTCAATTTAGCGAATATTGATAATAGCATGGTTTAAGCATATGTTTAGATACTACAGATATGGACTAAGTTATGTATAGTATGTATAAGCTTAGATAACAAGCATCCATTGAGATATTAGCAATCTAAATTTAATTTCAAATCTCAATGGTTGTCCAAAAACATTGATTTTTATATCGTTAAAATCATCTTTTGGCATACAAGAAAGCGTATTTTGACCAAGCGGATAGAATAATCCAAAATTGAGATGGAATGGTTGCAAATTGAATGTAGTCTCAATTTTTGATGTATCAATTTTTCCATGTAAAGAATTTGCAAAGTTGGCAAGTTAAATGACATATTATGAAGATCCTTTAAGCAAAGTTAAATATACCCTTGATTTAGAAACACTTTATCTTGCACCATCAGAACTTACTAATTTTGTCATCAAATCTCAAACAAAATACATTAGAGGTGAAACAACAAGTTCCTATGCATTTATTGCATGTAAATCAACTCTTAGATCATTCTCTTTTGAAGAAAATTCACAACTTCGAACCATACAAAATTATGCATTTTACCTCTGTGAAAAAATTCAAAATATTGATATTTCGAAATGCAATCTTCTGCAAACAATAGGTGATCAAGCCTTTTATGGCTGTTCCTCATTATCAAGCATCATCCTTCCAGAATCTCTAACATGGCTTGGAGTTGATGTTTTTATGAATTGTAATCTATCAAGAATTGAACTACCTGCATCTCTGACAGCTATACCTAAGAGATGTTTTTATAATAATTATTTCATGGATACAATTATAATTCCAAGCAACTCAAAAATTACCTCTTTGGGCTATAATATGTTAGCCAACACCTTACTCAGAACATTTAATATACCAGCATCCGTGAATAATATTGAAAATGGATGCTTCGAATATGCCTTTCTTGATAGTATTACAATAAGCTCAGGAAGTAAAAATTTCAAAATTGAAAATAATATGATCCTAACAATAGATGGTAAATATGCACTTGGGTATCCGTTAAGAATGACAGGAACAGCAGTTTTTCCAAATGGTGTTAATCAAATTGTGTATGCATCTTTTGGCAGTACATCAATTTCTCATGTTCAATTTCCTGATTCACTCCAAGTAATTGCAGCCTATGCATTCTATAAATCAAAAATTCAAGATGTTTATATCCCAAATTCAGTTACAACTATCAATTCTTACGTTGTTTCAGTAAGACTTTCTGAAAACCTTAAATTTTCGGCTGATTATACATTTCAAGATGTCCCATTCACATCAATAAATTTTCCAATCTCTATTAAATCAATAGATACAAATTGTTTTGTGGGATGTTCCAAACTTTCTGAAGTCACATTGCCAGATAATATTACTTATCTTGCAGGAAACGCATTTCCTAAATCTACTAAATTAAAATTTGGAGTTAATTCAAATTTATATCTTGATTCTCAACTCTTAATTATTGATAAAAGTAATCAAACAATTAATGGATATATTGGAGAGAATGTCGAAAAAGAATTCGTAATATTAAACACAATACAAACAATAACAAGTTCTGTATTTGATGGAAGGGATAAAATAACAAAAATTACATTTCCATGTGATTCTATGTTAAAATCAATAAAAAATACTGCATTTTGCAATTGCCATAATCTACAATTTGTGAATCTCCCATCAACAATAATTAGCATTGGATCATTTGCATTTTATAACTGTTTTAGACTTGAAAGCATTACAATTAATAACGCTCAAGAATTGAAATCACATGCATTTTATGGATGTTACAATCTTAAGTCCATAACACTATCATCTTCAACTATTCCAGAAATTTTTGAATGGACATTTTCCGCTTGTACTAATTTAGTGAATATTGAACTCCCTTCTTCACTTGCAAGGATCGATGATTATGCATTTAAAAAATGTACAAAGCTAGAAAGTGTAGTAATAAATGGAAATTCACTGAATTTTATTGGAATCGAGTCCTTCTCAGAAACTATTATAAAGAAGTTTGATTTCTCTAAATGTGTAAATTTTGAAAATCTTGGATTAAAATCTATTCAAGATACTATTTCTCTTTCAATACTCATTCTCCCACCAAATATTAAGAAAATTTCTGATATGGCTGTTAGAAATAGTGGAGTTATAAATATCACTTTCCCACAAACACTTACATCAATAGGAATAGATTCATTTTCAGAATGTTTTTATTTAGAAGAGATCAATATCCCAGAAAATAGTGCATTGACAAGTATTGGAATTGGAGCTTTTAGAGGATGTATGAGGCTCAAAAAAATAAATTGCTTTTCAAACAGTTATAGAGTTATGACTGGAGCTCTATTTACATATGATTTAATTTCATTAGTTCTATTCCCACCAGCATCCGAAGTAACATCATTCTCACTACCTGGAGATACTCGATACATTAATGAAGGAGCCATCCTTTCATGTACAAATTTAGTTTCAATTTTCATTCCTTCCGATTCAATTTCATATATTTCTACAAGTGCATTTGAAAGTTGTTCTAGCCTGACATGGATAAATATACCAATATGTGTAACTGGTGTTGGTGCAAATGCTTTCAAAGGATGCTCAAAATTGAATTGCGGAATCAAAGTTGAAAACACGAGTAAGACATACCTCGAAAATTTGTTCATTAACGCGAAGCTTTCTCAGCAATCTGTAAAAAATTGCATTGGAAACATAATAACGCGAAATTGTTTGTTCAATACAAACATTTTTTTCATCTTCATTGATGATGACTCATGTTATGATTATTATGTAAATTTTTATTATATAAAAATAATATTTAATATTTAAATATAGATGCTGATTGTACCACCAAATGAATGCAATTGCGAAAATCTAAAACTGGTAAGATAAAGCCCAAAAAATTGATTAAATATTTGCACCATCCAAAATCAGAAGTTTGATTGTTTCTTTACTATTATTTAATGTTGCATGATGAAGTGCATTCATTCCACTTATATCTTTTTCATTGATATTTGCACCATGTAAAAGAAGAAGTTCGGTTGTTTCTTTACATTTGAAATATATTGTATGATGAAAAGCAATTCCTTCATCATTAACTTTTTCATTGATATTTGTACCATTTGAGATGATAAGTTCAGCCATTTTTTGCAATTGAGATGTACTGCCTTATGAAGTGCTGTATCTCCCTTATTATTTTTTCATTGAAATTTGTACCGATTAAAATAAGAAGTTCTGCTATTTCTTTTTAATTATTTTATGCAGAATAATGAAGGGTAGTTTTTTCAATGTAATCTTTTTCATAGACATTTATACAATGTGAAAAAAAGAAGTTTGACTGCTTCCTTATAATTAAACAATGCTACATGATGAATGGTGGTTCACCATTCTTCATCTTTTTCATTGATATATGCACCTTGCGAAAGGAAACATTTTCAAAGTGATGGAATATCAAACATTATTAAGTTTGATCGAAATAAACTAAAAACGATTCAAGATTATTGTATTCATTCATCCAGAATGTAACAAAATCAATGTTGTGTGAAAATATAGCATACCTCATTCAAACTCTATTTGGTTCTTGATATTTCAAACATTCACTCATGATCTTTGGATTCCCTCCTTAAAATGAAAAAATATAGACATTTTTCAGTTATTTCTGAGTTAAATTTCGATCTTAATAACTTGAAACAATCAACTGCTCCATGGTAGAAACATAATTCAAGCAATGAATATCCTTTGTAAGAATTTGGATATAATTGACTTTTAAGTTTTTGTTATTCGGGCATTAGAACCTTGGATTAATTATTTCTAACAATCATATATATTAAACCATTGTGTTTTTAGGTCTCAATTATAATAATTTTTTTGGAAAATATCAAATGATACAAATATTATTGCTGATACATATATTAACGGATAATTGGAAGCAGCATTATACTAATGGAACCAAATGAAACAGTATTTCTTAAAAGAATGAATCATATCCATTGAATTTCGGAGAATTATGTGAATAAAATATTTTACTCACATGGAAAGGGATCTCTAAAGAGTGTAAAGAAGTCGAATATTTTGTAAATTATTCAATTTTGTCAGAAAAAGAAATTCAAAACGGCAATGGAGAAGCAAACTGAATCTGTAATTTTCCTAGTTCAACGATCAGAACCACCAAAATTACTAGAGTTCCTCCAATGCTCAGACGTAGTCCAAGTTTTTAAAACTGGAAATCAAGCTTTAATAGATCGGTTAACATCGCCTGATGGTATTAATGAATTAATAGATATTCTTCACAACACATCAGACTCACAAATTATGAGAAGGATTTTACAGATTTTTACAATGATAGATTCACCTTTACTTCAAAAGCTTGCGGAATCAATAGAATATACGGAACATCTTTTACAAATTCTCGATAGAAATGCAAATGTTTATTCATATGTCATAGGTTCTGTTACACAAATTTTATTAAATTCAATGGAAGTATATCCACACGAAATATACGAAGATTTAAATGCCTCTAGGACAAGTTACCAACGAATCATCAAGAATATTGAAATCAATTCTATTTATTATTTTTGTACTCGTTTTATTTCGCATTCAAAGAAGTCTGAGACATTCGCTTGGGTCCTTTTTTGCTCTCTTATGGGTGATCATGGCCCTGGTTGTCCAATACCTAAGAAATTCGCATACGATCCAGCTGCATCTATTCCTCCTATACCTTTGACAGCATCTATGAGAAAAAAAGTCATCGAATTATTATTTATTTACTTCAACGAATACTTTGAAGTCTGTGATTTCTCAAATGATGCATCAGAAGCGCTTCCTTTAGTATTACAAGATGCTTCTGATGATACAGAGCGTTCATTGGTATTTAAGCTTGGTTTGATACTTAAAATGAATGAAGGATTGGCTTATTCAGCTCAATCTATTTTAAATTGTCTGAAATCTTCAGATTCTTTGATTCAATACTCCCTTTACTATATTCATGCTTTTGGCATTATTATTCGTAATTTGTCCGTTGAACTGATCTTATATCGCTTACTTCATCGTCCTGCAAACAATTTCGTTTTAATTGCGGCTGCAAAGATGATACAAAGCATTATAGAGAACAGCAAGGATACGACTGATTTACAGGAGAGATTGGAAATGATTATAGCCGAAGCTTTCCAAAAATCAACCGTTTCTTCTGTAATTTTACGTGCATTTCGAATGGCATTGATAAATGCAGCAGACGGAATCGAAGTTACTCCAGAATCTCAATATGCCGTTGAACAACTTCGAAAATTAGAGGCAAATCCAAAAATTGGAGAAATTGATGAAGATTATATCAATGATTTAAAGAATAGAGCGGATACAATTAACAATTCAGACAAGTTTAAGCCAGTATTTAATGTTTCGAACCTTTGGATTCCTCAGCAAAAGCAAAAAATGCAAATTAAATTCAAAACAATTGACAGATTGTCAAATCTCAATAAAATCCAATCTTCCAACATTGCCCTTACACCAGGAGATGAATCCAGGCCGAAGATTACTAATATTGAAGGCGCAAGGTCACCTGTCAGAGTTAAATCCACATTTAATGCCCCAATACAGTCAATTCCTCAGCCGCTAGAAGAAGAGGAAGATGACTATTACGACAGTGACTACTATGAAGAGGATCAGAACGATTTACATGAACAAATGAAAATGCGTGAAATGATTGAACGACAAAAGTCCTTCAAAATGCATGCCGCCGAGAAACAAGACAATAATAACACACAGCCGCCCCAACAGGACCAGCCAACCCCTAAAGTTCAGCAACAACAAGTTCAGCCACCCAAAAAAGTGCCACAGTCAATTCTTGATTTACCTGCAATACCACCAGCTCCAAAACCAGCGATAGAAAAGAAGACAAAAGGCAAAGGAAAAGCAAAAGCTAAGCCAAAGAAAGCGAAAGCGAAAGGAAAAGCGAAAAAACAAAATCTTTCTTTTTCTTTCAATCTTAATGTTGTTTCTTCTCCACCAGCTCCTGTTCCTTTCTATCCACCGCGTGCTAGACTCAATCATTGCCTCGAACTCAATGTTTCATCTGTCAAACTGAAGCCGAGAAAGAAGAAACCACGTTTAAACAACAGAATTTTAGTTGTTGATTTCCCACTTGAAGAAAGTAACAAACTTTCCATTTCTGAACCGAATTTCACAGACGTAGACCTTGAAGATGCAATGTTCTTTGGCACACAGAGAAAGAAACTCGCACAGGAAGAGATAAGAAAGATGTTGGCAGCTTCAAATTCGGATCCGGAAGAAGATTTCGATATCGAACCTTTGCCATCAGAAATGGAAGAGGAGGAAGACGAGAAAGAAGAAAAACCTGTGAGAAACCCATTCTCTGTGTTCGCTGCTGTAAGGAAAATAGCTGAGGACGAAGAAGAAGAGGAGGAAGACAAATAATTTAATTTCGAATTTGATTTTTTGTGTTGTTTTTATATTTAATTGTTGTTTATAGACTGTTTATAAACTTTAATTATGATAAAATCATTTTTAAGGGTGCACACGAGAGGATCATGTAAACTTCAGAATTTAGAACCTTATTTTTAGGCATTATCTTGGCTACCTATTTAGGCTCGAAAAGCAAAAAATATCAAAAAATACAACTTGACTCCATTATGACCCTTTCATGGAGGTAGTTTTTATCCGCTAGTATTTTCCCTTTGAATCTCTTTACAATTCGAAATCAAATTCAAAACTCAGTAGAAGAAAGGAAGAATCGACTTACTACGGTTGTAATACGAATAAATACATATATTTAATTATTTTTATTTACATAATAATTGTTTGAAGCTCATATTCCAACAAATTTTTAAATAAAAACATTAAAATGTTGAAAATGTTCATATATTTTAATAGGGTTTTGGCACTTTATTGAGGAATTACTACATACATAGTCGAACTGAACTTGATATTTTGAAATTTAAATTATTTATCAAAATTAAAATTTAACTTGAAATTTATAATTATTTAGTCATATTTTGCATAATTCTAAGTAGATTTTGTAAAAAATCAAGAAAGAAAATTTTAACGTGCTTTATTTTTCTTTTTTATAATAATACATATTATTATATAATTAACATATTCATAATGTTTCACCCTTTCAAAAATATCCTCCTCCTCCTCTCAAATAAACGTACATACGGGTGGCCTCTTTTTTCAAAAAATTAAAATTTGAAATTTTGGGCTCAAATATTAGAGATTTTTTCAACCTTCAACGATATATGTTGTCTATATCAGACCTCCTTTCTTTTTGATACTTAACATTGTTCCTAAATCTTAGCCGTTAAGGCTGTTCTGAAAATATTTTTTTTTCGAAAAAATTCGAAAAAAATTCTTAAAATTCAAAAATCCCTTAATTCCTGAGGATTTTGGAAAAAAGTTTTTACATGAACATGTGTATATTATATGAAGTATATTGATAAGGTAAAAATCAAATTTTATTGCATATTCATCGAGAAAATAAACTAACGAATCCCTCAAAATTGAGAGGGTAATCCTCCTCCTCTCAAATAAACGTACATACGGGTGCACCCTTAACAAAATATAATACAAAGAAAAATAATAATTAGTCAGACTAACCTAATAGCTGTCTGTATTATAGCTATTGGCGTAAAGGAAATGCAATCAATCTCATTACGTTTTGTTATATGAATGTGAATAAGTTTTTGGTATTAAATTTTCGTTGTCATACAACTTCCACAGCATTGAAAGAATGCTTTACTTGCTATATGCCTTTATTAATAGGAGTTTTGAAGATTTCGAAATTAAAATTTCCTTAAAACTTAAGATTTAGATTTCGATCTTTAGAAATTATATTTAACTATGATTTACGTGATCATGTGTTATGTATTTTATCAAAAAGAATTTCATAAAGTGCACGTTTAAAAAATAAACTCTGTTATGAATCCTCCTGAAGAAAAGCTTATTTTAAAACTAGCAAAGCATATTCTTCAAACAAAGGATGAAATGGAGCTTACTCATGCTATGGAATATGCTTCTGTTATTTTTCAAGCTAAAATTTTTCAAACAAGTAATAAAAATATTGAGTTTTACTCTAGAAAATGGAAAGGACTCCTTTCTGATGAAAGTAGGCAGAAATTAACTCAAATCCAAAATACTATTTCATCGAAACCTCATCCGATTTTAAAAATTATTGATTTACTAGCGAGATCAGAAAAGCCGACTAAAGATATACAATTACCTCCAGAAAGAAAGAGATTTTCATTAGCAATTAGCGAAAAAGATTTAATTTTTGAACTGATAACACTTCTCCAATGCGGAAATGGTAATACTATCAAGTACGAAGATGGGAAATTTGTTATAAGTTCAGAAATATCACCACAATTTCTTAAAGTTACATTGAAAATATTATCAACAGTTCAATGCATCCATGAATTATCTCAATCTCGAGAAAAACTTACAGGAATCGTAGGTCAAACACTTTCAATTCATATCATGTCCGAAGTTTCTAAATATATTGAATATATTTCCAAATACAATTATGAAAAAACAACATTAATTCAACTACAATCATATCTTTTAACTCCAGAAACAGAAAATATTCATGCACTTACATTCATCTATTTCTCTATTGTCAAATCCAGCTCAAACTATATGGCAGCAATCGCTCTTTTGAATGGACATGGAAATCCTTACGTTTCAAATTTGGCTAATAAGTTAACTGAAGCTTGTTATTCTGCAATTCTCGAATTCATTCAAAGCTGGGTTATTCACGGTATTATTGATGATCCATATCATGAATTTTTCATCGAAGAAGATCATTCTGTCAATGTCAAGATGAAAGATCCTGCAAGTTGGTGGACAACTCAATATACATTAGTCGTTGATAAAATTCCTCCAAAGTTTTTCGACAAAGAAACTCTTATGATGATATTATCATGTGGAAAAGCTTTGAATTTCATTAAAGAATTCAAAACGAATAACTTTAATGAAGGATATGTTCCATTTAAAGGCAAATTTTTCGATCTATCAATGGTAGATTCCTTCCTTATGACTTCAATGAATGCAGTCATTAATTTAATTATCAGGGAGAATTGGCTTCTTGGACATTTGAAAGTTATTAATGATTTCATGCTTTTTTGTAGAGGTGATTTTGCCACATCATTGTTCTATGCAATTAATGAATCAGATGATATTTCTTCAGTTTACATTCTAACGAGAGCATTGAAAGGTATTGACTTCGGAAAATGTTATACCAATAAACTTACTGGAGAAAATTTAATTAATTACCTCGATTATAAGAAGAATGACTCTAATGTTCTTGCAAGCTTAGTATATAAGACTAAAGATCCAATAACAACTGTTGTTGGTCTTAGAGCAATGAAATTATATGAAAGATTTTCAAAATTCGTTTGGAGAATTCGATCGATTCAACTTACTTTATCAAATGGATGGAAATTCCATAGAATTCCATTGTTTGTTGAAGAAGAATATATAGGAGGAATTGGCGACACAATAAGTGGTGCAGATCTCGTTTCTAAAATTGCTGGGATGCGATTTAATTTCCTCTTTGCTTCTGCGTCATTGAATGAATGGATTTCTTCAGATGTAATTTTGTCTAACAGAAAAGAAATGGAAACTCAAATCCAGAATGCCACAACATTTGATCAAATCATTCATTATCATAAAAGATATCTTCATCAGTTGAAAAGAGGTTTCTTACTTACTGAAGAGTTTGCTCAAGCACAAACTGCTCTTGCGCAACTTGTTGATGTTTTTGACCAATTCATTGCTCTTGTCAAAGATATTTATTCATATTTTGATGATTGTGATGCCCATTATCAGTATATTCTTAACGGAGGCGAAGATGAATTTCAAGATTCTCCTGATGCAGAATTTGATGAGTTTAACCAGAGTTTAGATTTGATTCAGCACACTTTTAATACCAAATTAAAAGTACTTCATGCAAAAGTCACACAGAATCTAGGAATTCCTGAGTTCTCTCACTTAGAATTGCGATTACTCTCTTGCTTAAAGTCAAGTGAGAAAGAAAGTCAATAAATTTGTTTGTTTATTTGTAATTATAACTTTTTTTATTCTAAATACAGAAGAATATATTAATCACATCTATAATAAATAGCTAGAGAAAATATCTCAATGAATTTAGATTAAAAAACAAAAATATTTTATTTTGTAAAATAATTACAAGTAACAACAGTAAGTAAATGCTAGATTGAAGCTGTAAGTTGTATGTTCAACTGTGTTTACAAATTATAATAAGAATTTCCAGAATTTAAAAAATTATTCCGGAAAAAGTAACTAATTATTACGAATTTCATTGAAATACGTGGTCGCATATTAGTATATAATATGTATTACAAACATGATTATCCGAGAATGAATCTTTCGTATTTTGTGATAACTACATCACAATAAGGGCATCTTTTTGGTTTGGGCAGCTTTTGGTAACATTCAAAACAACATGTGGAGTGATTACAAGGATGAAACATGACATCAAGTGGATTTTTTCTACAAATTTTGCAAATTCCAGGCCTAATTTTATGAACAATAGGTTGACCAACCAAAACATCATCTTGTGAATCAGATGAACTCCTTGTTGAATCAGAGCTATCGCTATCTGAGATATAAATTGGTTCCATGAAAAAGTGACAGATTTTAACACAAAATTTTAATGAATTGCAGTAAACTTCAATATGACGTGCTTGCAGAGTCATTTAAAGATTACATCGATACTTTCAATGAGCTATACAGGTTGCATGCTTACGATGAAAACGAAATTGACCTGATTTACAAAAATATCCAAAATAATTTGATCAAAACTAATTACTTCTCACCATCTCAGATATTAAAAATCATTTCGACTGTATCGAAATTCAATAATCGTTACATGAAGTCTTATTGGACTATATTTAAAAAAATATATGAAGAATATCAGGTAAAACAAGTAATAGACATTGAATATGTTTTTGACTATTTTGTATTTAAAGAATATGGGATTAACTTCAATGAATATGATAAAATATTTTTCAGATTTTATGATTCCCAAAAATATTCATTAGAAGTTCATGAAGAAAACACAATATACATGGCAATTATGAATGATGACAAAGAATCATTTATATTATTCACAGAAAGGGAAGGATTTGATGAAAATCAAAAAATAATGAGCGAATTATATCCATTTTCTAAAGCCGCTCATTCATTACTTGAATTATGTTGTTATCATGGTGCTGTAGATTGTTTTAAGATATTAAGATCGAAATACAACTCTGAAATTACTATTATTTGTCTAAGATTTTCATTTTTGAGTGGAAATCCAGAGATAATGAGTGAATGCTTGAAAAAGCATAAACCAGATCAAGATTGCATGTTCTTTGCAATTTGTTCGCATAATATTGACTTTGTTACTTTCTTGGTTAATGAATACAAGTTAGAAATTGATTTAGAACAGTGTGTAAAACTCCACAATCTTCAAGCATTTTTAGTTTATTTAGATTTAACGAATCAAATTAACACTTGTTTTGTTTATTCGCCAAGCTTCCATATTCCATCTCTTTGTGAATGTTTTCTTAATAATGGTGCTGATATTAATTCAAAAGAATACTATGGAAAAACTGCTCTTCATTATGCAGCAGAAAGTAAAGAAATTGTTGAACTTCTTCTTTTGCATAAAATTGATATCAATACAAAAGATATGTTTGGAAGAAGTGCTTTTAATTATGCAGCAGCAAAAGATTGTAAAGAAGTAATTCAAATACTAATTTCCAATGGTGCAGATGAGAAAATAAATGGATATATACGTCCAATTGCAAGAGATTTCGCACATCATGGAATGAATTTATGAATAAATTATAACTTTGGTAAACAGGATAATATCATGTTCTCTTTATATTTAAGCGATGTAAGAGTTTTCTTAAAAAAATAATGTTTTATTTCTAGAAACATTCCTAAAACATCATTCTGCTTTTTCATGTTAAAAAATTCATCACATAAGGGTGTAATTTAAATTGGCTAGTCACAAGTATAATGTTTAATAAATGAGGCAAATCAAATAGAGTTTTAATCTTTATTCATCTTGTTATTATATGATTAATAACCCCATGAATTTTTAAAATTTCTGTTAAAAATATTGAATGTAACTTTGCACCCAGTGAGTCCAATGTTTGTGTAGTTCCAAAATAAATCATATATTACACACTAATTTTTTCCCAAAATTGGAATAAAATAGCCACAGCTTTGTAAGAGAATGCTGTCTGACAATTTCGACTGATGGCAAAACTGACATATTTTTCAGAATGAGACTCTATTGTATTAGTGGGTTTGCTCACATATTTTATCTGTTTCTTGTATATATGAATTGTGTCAGAAATCTAGCAGATCATGAATTGAAAATTTTGTCAAAAATTTAAGTGTCAATTTTTTTGGGAAATATTCGGATTTCATCATGACCGAAACCGAGTCAGAATTTCAATTTCGGTCAGATGATTTTGAGAAGAAATCGAATGTTAGGGATGGAAAATTCATTCGTGTTGACAGAGTAATTCACAAAGTCACAAAAAAGAAATATACATTAACAACCATCAAAATTCCCAATCCAAAGTTCAAAAATGAGGAAAATTGGCTTCCTAGAATCAAGTACCTTGCATCTCTGCATCACCCTGCAATCAAAACAATTGTTGGTTACATTGACAACGGAAACTTACCAATTCTAGTAGACGATGATGAAGAAAATATGCCAGCTTTCCTCGAACTTACCAAATTTAAAATCAATTCGACAAACAAAATTTGTTTATTATTTAGCGCCGCAGTCGGATTGAAATATCTTCATGATAATAACATAGTTCACGGTGATTTCAAGACAAAATCCATTTACGTTTCTCATGATATGTATATAAAAGTTGCAGATTACGCTCCATTTCAAATCATCGTAAGGAATGCCAGAAAAGACGCTTCCTTGAAGTCCAGTGTTTATATCGCCCCTGAATTGTACCAAGGATCCCCTCCAACAAAGGAATCCGACATTTATGCTTTCGGAACTTTGTTATTTAGTTTCTACACGTTGAAATTTTCAATGGGAAGGAAGATTTTGAATGGTCCTTTTTCAGAGCTTGCTGTTTCCGGTGAAAGAGTCAACATTCCTGATATAATTCCAATTAAAATTCAAAGTTTGATCGAAAGATGCTGGAAACAGAACCCACAAGAGAGGCCAACCATGGAAGAAATTGTTTTTCAGCTATATACATTATGGGATCTCTGCTTTTTCAATCCTGATTCAAGAATTTTCAAAGATGTGGTCCAAACATTAGGAGGACCGCCTCCAGAAGGGACATTTGACTTCAAGAGTGATAAGTTGATTCCATTTAATTACACACTATCTCCTTTTCCTTCAAAAAAGCAAATTTATTATTCAAACGCTGATTGTGAGCTTTTATGCGAAAATTCTAGGTTCTATGCAGCCCAAATCATTCATCTGCAGAAACTGTTGACTTGTATGAAGGTTACTTCAGCAGAATTAGTTGCTTCTTATATTTCAGATTCAATTTTTGTCAAATCTCCTGAATATTGGGATATTCTTGTAGAAAACATTATGTATATCTCAAGAGTACATTATAGGAACATAAATGATTACGCAACATTGATTTTTGACTTAATCAAACAATCTCCTCAAATTAAGGACTTTCTTCTTGAATCCTTCTTCGCAGTTAATGATGATGAGAACTGCTACCCTGCAAAAGTACCTGTAGTTACAACTCTTTACTTTTTGAAAAAATTGGGAGCATATTCTGATGAAAACATAGTTTCTAGGATTAGAAATCTCTTCATGAGTAACCAAACAGTCAAAAGATTCATATCAATCTTGTTCTGTTACTTCGCTCCTGAAATTGAAAAATCTGATCCGGAATTTTACCAAAATATCAAGAATATGGTAAAGAATGAGACGCAGAACTGCTTCTTCCCAAAGGCTTTCAGCAATTGGTTCAAAAATCTCAAAAAATACCGAGAAAATAATTGGAAATTTATGAGGGAATCAATTGAAGAGCATAAAAGTGTATACAAAGTACGCCAAATAATTATTAATGATGATTACAAACAGCTTTCCGAGCTAATGTTGAATCCTGACGATACATTGACAACTCGCATTGAACCAGAGATCTACGACCCTTGTATTATCATGCACAATCGTCCAAACATTGCGCATGCTTGCCCTATCCATTCTGCAACCCGTTGTTTCCAGATTCTCCAACTTGGAAAATTTGATTTGAGCGCAAGAGACTTAAAATACATGTTTCTGCCCAGTTTCATCATCGCTTCCAATTGTGAGGACTTTTATGACCTTCTAACAAGAAAAGTCGTTGAAGTTGAGACATCATTGCAAATTTCAACTTCTTACTTCAGATATGAGTTGTTTTATAACCTTGTTAAGCTTGATAAAGCAGATATAACTAAGCCAGATAAGCTTGGTTATCTTCTTATCAACGCAGCCGTAATTTCAGGAAATGTTGACATTCTTTTATACTGTTTATCAAATGGTGTTGATGTAATGCAGCGAGAGAACTTCGGATGGACGCCTCTGCACTGGGCGGCCTTTAAATCCAAAGTTTCTATTTTATCAATATTAAATGGAGCGGAAGGTGTTGATCCGAACATCGCTGATGACTGGGGAATTACTCCTTTGCATCTGGCTGCGGAATACGGAAGCGACAAAGGATTACAAGAGTTAATGAGATACAAAAACTTAAATGTAAATATTTGTGACAAAAGAGGACAATCACCATTACACAAAGCTGTTGAAAGTGGTGAAATAACAAATGTGAAGATAATTTTGTCAGATAAAAGAGTTGATACTCAAATTTGCGACAAAAAGAAGAGAACTCCTTATGATTTAGCAATTAAAAGAGGAAGAAATGATATAGCTGAGTTTATTAAAAACTCACGTCCTGTTGTTTAATTTGTTTATATAAAATGTGTTTTTAAATTTTTACACTTAAATGTACTTTTTCTCTATGATAGAATTGATGTTTTTATGAATAAACTTAAATATAGCATACATTGATCATACTCTATCTTATCATTGTTTCAAAATCTAAAAAGGATCTCTAGAAAAAGACTCTAGGTGTAACTAACGTATTTTTTTTGTAAAATAAAAAAATCTCTTTCATATGATTATTGAATGAGATTTTACAAAACTACGTGACAAAACCTAGGTGAATCTCGATTTGTTAGAGGGAGTAATTAGTATGGTTTTGTCACGCAGTTTATAAACTCATCGATCTTGTGGATGAAAACTGAAATTCATTTTTACTTTAATTTAAATTCTCCTGATGAATAAATTCTATTTTTATCTATATATACTTTCATTCTAATTTTGAACTATGATTTTACATACTCTACCTTCTTCATGCATGAAATCTACATGTAATAATATTTTATAACTGTTTTCAGAAATTTGAATTAATAAACCGGTTTTCAGATATGCGTAAATGTCTCCTTAAGGACATATGTATATATATGTGAATATTTCATCCAATGTGAATATTTCATCTCACATGGCACATATATCCATGAAAAAGATGAAGATGGACAAACTACACTTCATGCTGCAGCAGAATAATATTAAGAAACTGCCGAATAATATTATAGTGTTCCTAAATAAGATACTATTCTTTCTTATTTTATTTGCTTTTTGAAACAAAATTGGATTTGTATTTTGCAATTTCATTTATTGAATGAAAACTAATCACCAATGCCTTATATAGTCGTTATATGTTAATATAAATTCTGTAATATTAGCAATAGGATATGATGGGTCTAAAAATCTTTTCAAACCTTCAAGATTTGTCCAAGAGCCATGATTGACTGCATCAACAACCCTCTGAGTATACTTTATCATATCTGTATAATTGGTTAGTTGAGGTTTTCTCGAAATAATGTCTCGATCTGGATGAACGACTCCAATCATGAAGATATGAAGATGGTTACATAATTGTACGTTTGGTCCATCAGCACTCGATGAAAATAACAAAACCATTCCTGTTTTTTCATGCATGAAAATTGCATTGTAGATTCCAGAACCTTGAACAGTTACTAATATCTTTAGTGACATCCAAAATTTTACGATTCTCATCAAAGATATTCCATAAAAATTGTCGTCTCTTATCCATTTGCAACCTTTCTCAATAATTGTATTCTCATTGAGAGATTTAACAAGAGTACGTACCTCATATATAAATCTACCAGATCTTCGTGGCCTATTTGCAACAACATATCTTTCTGGTTTAATTTTTTTGTAATCTTCTTTTTGAAAGACAATTTCTCTAATTCTATGTATCCCTCCGCTCGTATATCCATGGGCTAGTTCTAATGTATGAATTACCCATAATTTTCTTACAAAAAATTGTTCATCATCTTTGAGAGTAACAAAAGTTATGTTTAATCCAAGATATCGAACAAAAATCATACGTAGCTTTATAATGAAGCTTTGGTCTCAGAACAATGATACCTCTTTCCATCAAATCTTTCGGTACAAATATCATAGTCCATATTTGTACATAATGAACTAATTCATCAAAACAATGGGTAGTTCGTTTGATTGGTGCTAAAATATTTGCTTTCTCAAAGGCAAATAATTTGATTAAAGTATCATTTTGAATTATCATTTTTCTTTGATAGTATGCATCAGGAATTAGCGATACATGTACTAATGACTGTGTTGAATAATTATTTGGTATCCTAATGGTATCTTTATATGGTTTTAAAGTAATTTTCGAAAAATTTACGCTTTCATTTGGCTCACGAGTAATCATTGTGTATTTTATCCATCTCAACCATTCATTTCTTGTGATTTTCGGTTGAGATAGATAAAATAAAAGAAATGAATCTTTGATTTCTGGAATATCATTAATCGCTTTAATGCATATGAGTATGGAAGCACATCCAACGAAAAAATAAATTTTGATTGCCATTTTAGGAAAACAAATCATTCGTCTCATATCAAAAATTGGATATTGAATACAAGTTTTAATTAATGAATCGAAAGCATATAAATAGAACTACAATAATAATTCACAAATAACTCGTGAAATAAGCTTAAAAAGTAAATTTCTGGCATCAACTCAATGAATTGCTTCCTAATTCAGAGTTTACTATTAATGTTGTTCACAATCAACTATGTGAACTGAGAATAGCTAAATATAATATCATTTCATAATTAAATCAAGTTTTTGAAATTATTACTCTATAATCTTGTTACGCCATATTTTTTTGACCAAATAGATTTTTTCAACATGTATCATTAAGGAATTAATTACTGTTTAACATCATTTCGAAATGGTCCTAAGCATGCCAAATGAAGTTATTTTGAGCAGCTGTTTGCTCTCAAAATGTCACTTTTTCAACTCAAAAAATTTTATACATGAGATAAATTAGTGTCAAACTCCGAAGTTTAAGCGATACAGGCAATATTTAACTATGTACAGTGGAAGATAATACGGAACAGCATTGTTTTGCTGCAGAAATTACTATTAATACGATTAGTATAGCAAGAAAATGCTGATTGTAAAAATCATATCCATTTTTCAATTTTATTAGGGTCCGTAAATTTTTATTGAAGGTACCATAGCTACCTGAGCAATCAATTTTACAAATTTGTCATGAAAGTAGTTATGACCTCAATATGACTAAAGCTTTAGTATCAAATTACACTTTCCCGATTTTCAGAGCATTAAAGTATGTTAAAGAACATAGCTGTGAGTTTATGATATAGCTAATATACTAATAGAACTATTTATAAAAAGTTTATTTTCACCTGAAGATCAATAATACGTTGAAATCCAATATAATTTGAATTGATATCAATATTTAACTTCTATTTTGCAATTTGTTTTCCTTATTTATTCAATGAATGAAATTGGATTTCAAAATGTCAAAAATTTCAAAAATCTGTTTTACAGATTTGGATAGATAAATGTGGGTAAATTCAGGAGTCTCCGCCCGCATATTTTATACTTTAACTGCAGTGTCAATCCTTGTCTACGTAAAACTTATTTTATTCACAATAAACACTGCAGAAGGTTTCAATCTTTATGGAGATTTTATAGCAATTCCTTTAAAAACCGGACCAAAACCGAAAATCATGTTTTATAAGCTTCCTTACATAACATTAGAGCACAATATCTACAAATTAGACCCAAGCGTATTAAATAATTCATTAGCTACAACTGATAGGAGCACAGAAGTAGCAGAAGTTGTTCAAAGATATGCAGGTATGTCAAATTGTTACATTGCCTATTTCGAAAATATGCTTTACGCTGGCGAATCTGCCTTTTTACATAATAAAGCCATAAGAACTGCCACTTTTGACAGCGCTGTTTATGAAGCAAAAACTACAGTTGGTACTATTGATACTGCCATTCAATACAGACAAAACTTTTTAATGTGGGGTCATAATATCCACGATTTTCTATGCGCCACAATGTTTGTTCCAAGAGAAGTGTTACGAAAAGGAGCCTATGCGTTTGCTCCTCTTCACTATTATCAAAATACCCAAAGATTAATAGATTTCTTACATCTTAACATTACATTGATCAAATTTGAGAGTGGTGAGCAATATTTTGTCCGAAAACTATACGTAGTAGCAAATCATGCATTTGCGCATGGTTACACAGTTTATGGTATCTACAAAATGCGCGAACTTGTTTTTGAAAGATTCAATAACACAAAAGACAAAGCCACGCGTTTTGTTGTTTTCAACAGACCAAAAGGAGAATCTAGGCGTATCCACAATGAAGAAGAACTTCTTGCTGCTCTTAAAGCGAACACTACAATTGATCCAGGAAAAGAATGGGAATTAATTGATAAACCTTACGGGGATTGGGATTATACATGTAAATTATGGATGACATTTAAAGTCATTGTGTCTCCGAGTGGATCAATGTTATACAATTCCATATTCATGCCGAATAAAACAGGAATGTGTGTAATGTTCACGAGACAACTTGATCGACCAAATCTGCAGTTGGCAATCGGTTCTAACATTTATTTGATCGGTGTCACACATTTGAATATGGAACATCACTTTTCTGAACCAATTCCTTGTGATGTTGAAAGAATGGTATGGTGTACGCAAAGAATTGTTGATGCTGTGAAATCTGAAGGTAATATTGATCGTACAAATCTGAAACCTGGATTTGATATCGATGCTTATATATCAGAATCTAGAAATCCTCGTGAATTTGGAGAATTTTAGTATTATATTGTTTGATAATAAAATTAAAATGTTTGTGTTATTAGTTATTTCAAAACATTACGATTTTTCTAATTGATGAGTGGTAATAATTGAAAATGCATGAAATCATAATCCAATAATTCAACAATAGTGTTCATTAAAATTTCATTCCCAAAATTATAATGCCAAAAAAATTGAGAGAATGTCAGAAAGTGGTAACTGCGCCCTTAATTTTTTTTAATTTTATTTTATATTATATTAAGGATGTCGGAACTGCCAAAAGCCAAGCTTGGCAATTCTTGGATGAACAAAATTTTGAAAAAAAATTAGTAAAATTTGCATTATTTAAGTCTGAAAGAAGCAAGAGAATGCTATATTTTAGTTTCTATACATTTTTGAAATAAAATGGTGGCATTATTAATGATTTTTAGAAATTTGATATTTGAAATTGAATCATTTGATATTTTTACCGAGTCTGCATTCTTAATTATATTATTTCTAATGAAATTCTATCTTGAAAATACCAGAAAAAATAAAGATAAATATCTTATGTAAGAACATTATTTTTTCGCGCCATGCAAAATAAGAAGTTTCATCATATCTTCATGATAATATATTTCTGCAATACGAAGTGCAGTTTGTTCAAATTTATTTTTTTCATTGATATTAGCACCATGTGAAATGAGATATTCAGCAGTTTCTTTACTATTATTTCATGCTGCATTATGAAGTGCGGTTTCTCCATTTTTATTTTTTCATTGATATTAGCACCATGAGAAATAAGAAATTCAGCAGTTTCTTTATTATTTTCCCATGTTGCAGTATGAAGTGCGGTTTCTCCATTTTTATTTTTTTCATTGATATTAGCACCATGAGAAATAAGAAATTCAGCAGTTTCTTTATTATTTTCCCATGTTGCAGTATGAAGTGCGGTTTCTCCATTTTTATTTTTTTCATTGATATTAGCACCATGAGAAATAAGAAATTCAGCAGTTTCTTTATTATTTTCCCATGTTGCAGTATGAAGTGCGGTTTCTCCATTTTTATTTTTTTCATTGATATTAGCACCATGAGAAATAAGAAATTCAGTAGTTTCTTTATTATTTTCCCATGTTGCAGTATGAAGTGCGGTTTCTCCATTTTTATTTTTTTCATTGATATTAGCACCATGAGAAATAAGAAATTCAGCAGTTTCTTTACTATTTTTCCATGCTGCCATATGAAGTGCGGTATCTCCATATTTATCTTTTCCATTGATATTAGCACCATGTGAAAGGAAGTATTCCAAAAGGGACGGAATATTAAATATCGGTGAATAAACAAAGCATTTGTTAATATCATTAGTTTGATCGAAATAAACTAAAAAGGATTCAAGATTATTGTATAGTCCACAATATTCTAAATTGATCTCTATATTGTATTCATTCACCAAGAATGTAATAAAATCTATGTTGTGTGAGATAATTGCATATTCCATGCATTTCATATCTGGCTCGTGATATTTCAAACATTCACTCATAATGTCAGAATTTCCTCCTAAAAATGAAAATTTTAGACATGTTTCAGTTATTTCTGAGCTGAATTTTGTTCTTAATAACTTGAAACAATCAACCGCTCCATGGTAACAACATAATTCAAGCAATGAATATCCGTTATTAGAATATGGATATAATTCGCTTTCAATAATTTGATTTTTATCAAATCCATCTTTTTCAGTGAATTGTATGAATCTTTCTAAGTCATTATTCATAATTGCTGTGTAAATTGTATTTTCCGCATGAATTTCGAAATTTTCTGAATGATCTTTATCAAAATCAGCAGATTTATGTAATTTAATTCCATATTCTTTATAAAACAGGAAGTTTAGAATAAATGGGAGATTGTTGACTTCTTCCACATGATATTCATCGTAAATGAGTTTGGCAAGAAATAAATATGACTTTGCAAATCGATTGTTGTACGGAATGATACATAAAATATAGTTCATAATTATTTGAGATGGACATTTCTTTGAATCAATCAATTCTGTTTTGATAATTTTGTAAATTTTGTTTAATTCTCCTTCGTTTTCCGTTTTTAGCTGATACAATGCAAGATATGAATCGATGTAGTATTTGTAGATACTTCGTAATTTGTAGTATTTGCTTGAATTAACGTCTTGGTCGGACATTAATAATTTTTACAAAAGTCTTATTTGCATTTTACTTAAATCCATGGATATGAAATGATGCTGTAACAATGGAAAAGCCGATAACCATAGAATTTTCATCAAGATACTTGATTTATTCAAGATTTTTTGCCAATCATTCTAAATTAATTGATTCTTGGAATATGGATAAAGGGTTATATTTAATTAATAGAATTATTTCGTTCAATTTCTTTTTTCAGCCGATATAAAATTTAGGACTTTTTATTGGATGCAGTAACAATACTATAAGTGAAAATAAGCTAGATGTAATATAGAATAAAGTTTACAAAACATTCTATTGTGGTAGGAAAAAAAAAAGAAAATAAATATTAAATTGTTTGAATAGTAATAGGTATGAAGTCATCTTCTTCATCAGTTGAACTTTCTTCAATTGGTTTCATTGCTCTTGCAATACCAGAGAAAGTGTTTCTAGAAAGTCCTTTCGAGAGAACTTTTTTAGGTATTGAATTCGTAATATTTTCTGGGTGTTTAATATTGAGTAGAGCTGCAATATTATGTACATCTGAGGGAGATCTGACTAAATCTGTATCAAGGCAGCCATGACTTAACAGAATGTTCCTTCTCCTTAGAACAAATGTTAAGGATTTGGCCGCACTTATTAAATCTTGTCGCATTTGCAGAGACTTTAAAAATTGTGAATATCTTATTTCAACAGCAATTCCACGATTTACTGCGCCTTTAAGATCTTTCCATTTCTTTTTTGGCATATAAGCTGGTAAATCTAGAGAAATAATATCAATATCCATTGTTTGGCAAGCCATTTTGAAAATTTGTTCATTTAATGGTGTTACTGAGTATAAACTATATCCCAATGATGGCATTTGACGCATGAATGCATGAACTTCATCGACACTATCTGTTTCGAGATTTAAACGAGTAAATTGTGGAAAAGTTGGATAATCTGATAAGCAAAAGAGTGAATGCCTACGTTGTATTATCGCTTCTGCTTCTGCTGATATTTGTACTGGTTCAGGGGGTGGAGGAACATTTTTCATTGTGCGAACATTTGTAGTTAAAACGACACCATCCCAACCTGAACGTATCGATCTTTCAACGAACATACGTACTTCCTGATTAACAATGCTACCGTCCTTTTCATAAGGAAGAAATAGTTCAATATTCATTTTTTGTCACTTTTGATTATTTAGACAAATGATCTCTAAATCACAATGCATTGCGTAAAATTGGGCAAACTTAAAATTTTATTTGAAATTTTTAGATTCATAATAAATGATGTCGCCATATTGTCATTCATCATGGGGTTGAAACTTCATTATCACAGTACACAACAGTGACTATTGTGTTTCATAGTCAAATTACATATATTAAGCTGGAAATTTAAAAATTACTGATTTGCTTAGGTATTTTATTTTTTTCAGATTACTTGTTCAATTGAAACTTTCAGATAGAGGATGTAAACGATAGCACATCTCTCTTGAGTAATTAAATTATGTGAAAAGAGAATTTCGATTGAAGTTTCTCCGCTCCTTATGGCATTTCTCAATTAATTACATTTAATTAACGATATCTTTTATTAATTGTGATAGATACACTTTCGTGAATGACCATATCCCTATGTTTTATACTCAAATTAATTCGAAAACTTTATATAGCATGAATTCAATTATCACTTTCTGACATCTCTCAATTTTTTGACACTCAAGCTTTAGGTCCAAATTTTCTAAGCTACCTAAAGTCGAATAAATTGATTTTGCAAGAGCATGTCAGAAAATGGTAAGTGCACTCTTAAGGGTGCACTGTAGTCGGTTTGCCAAAGCCCTCAATTTCGATCAATTAGAGTTTAAGGCTAAACTTTTTTTCTTATATTTCCATATTGAGTAAATATTTTTTAAATATTTTGATTGATCATATATTACTATATGACCATATATCATATCCATAAAAATCATGGAAAAATATCTCGAAACCAAGGAAAAAAAGTGGGAGTGTCAAACCTATTACAGTGCACCCTTAAGTTTAATTTTATAGCATATTTTCTAAAGAATTTTTACTTTATTTTTGGAATTGATAAATCAACTCTTTCAATTTTTAATGCTTAAGCAAGATCCTCATTCCAGATTATAAATGCATGGAATTTCGGAATATGCAATCAATTCATATAGTATAGATTTTGTTACACTCTTAAATTTATATTATTGTGGAATGTATAATGATTTTAACAAATGATTGAAACATTCAACATTGTTTGATATTCCATCACTTTACGAATGTTCCTTATAACTACTTCATACATTTTGTGCAAATTTGTCATAGCTTTGGATTATTAACTCTGCCAATTCAGTACAAGTTTCATCTTTATCTTGTCTTTGTAAATATTCATCCAATAAATTAATGATATCATTTTCATCAAAAAGATCGAAAACTTTTTCTCTTAATGTTTCTTCTGTTGTTAGATCTGCAATAAAAGCTAATATATCAACAATCTGGCTATATTGGGTGATATATTCAAAAGATGAACAAACTGTTTCTAATAGCTGAGATTCTAACAGATATTCTTTAAATTTATTATTATCTGATTCAATATATATTTTACAAAGTAAATTAAGTCTTACTATTTCATTTTGTGTTGAAAATGATTTGTTCAGTAGAATAGAAGCGAATTCTTCAGATGTTAATTGGTTAAGTATCTTATCTGATATCTCATAAAGTGTTGTAATCGCAAGATTATTTACTAACTCTGAATCACTTTCAAGACTTGATTTAATAATTTGAGAAAATGTATCATTATCAATGAATTTTCCACAAAAACGTATGAAGATCAATTGCGCTTGAAGATAGTCAGAGCAATATTCTGTTTTTTGCAAAGTTTCAAGCAAAATTTGAGAAGATTTTTGTGCTTCATCAAGATTTTGAGTAATTTCATACTCTTTACCTATAAATATTGATATACATGAAACAATGGCTACAACAAAACTTGGATCATTTGAAATTAATAAAATTGATATTAATTTTTCAATAAAATATGGAATTTTTGATAGAATTCGTTCATTGTTTGTGTCTTCAATATAAAACAAGAAAGCCAAATAAGATTCAAAATCATTTTCTTGATTTAGATTCATTAAAACGTTTTCAATGGTATCATCACTTACTAACTCAATAATAGATGGTTGTGAATCTATTATCATCCCAAGAACTTGTGAACAATATGCCGATGTAATATAATTTATTAAATAATTGATGTAGTTTAAATCAACTAGCTTTGACACAACATTTTCTGATGATTGATTATGTTCCAGTAAACTCATTAGGATTTTATTAGATTTTTTGATAATTATTTCATTTTGTGCTAAATTTTCAAATAAACGTTCGATTTGAGGTAAAAATTCGTCTAGTAGATCTCCATCTGATTGAGTAAGCAAAGTAAAAACTTGAAATGCTGTTTCATCTGTTGGATCTTGAAAATAATTCACGAAGACTGCTTTAATATTCTCTTCACTAATATAAATTCGTTTAGGTATTTGATTTTCATTCGAAACTGATAAGTTTTCTTGGGAATCTTGAAGTTGTTTAGATGAAATCATTATTGTTCAAAAATTTTGACGTTTTGTCGGTATTTTTGTCACAAATTTGAATTGATTTCGTATTATTTATAAATGAAAAGTGACAAGATTTTAGAATGAGTTCTTTACTGAAATCGAATCTTCCTATTATAGAAAACGTAGTTCATTTCAACAACGATTCGACCCTAATTATATTCATTCATTCAATCTTAAAATTAGCGCAACTTTCTGATAAACCCTATGATGATATGTCCTATTCTCTTTCTTGGGTGATCAAACTAATCATAAATAAATCTCAATCCAAACACAATTGCCTTTACAGTATCGGATTAATACAACTAGGAAATTATATTGCCACTAATTTAAATATTCTTTCAGAGGTATTAGGAATAAGTATAGTAGAACTCCAATTAAAAATAGCATCATGGAAAACGGTTCTATGGGACCCTCATGATAAAAATGCCGTTCTTTCAGAATTTGATAAAAATCCTATTCCACAACAATGGCAACTGATACAATTGAATTCATCAGACCCGATTGTACTAGCTTTCTCAACTCATCCAAGATTAGAAACTCCACGTGTTAATAGGGTTAATCCACAAAGGAATGTGGATAAGCAATCTAAAGCATCTAACACAGATACACATAAAAGTTCTGAAACTATTTCAAGTATAAATGAACGTTTTGTCAGAAATATAATTAATCAAACCCCGCCACCAAAGAATAATTCACAAATTAGCATTCCTCCATTACTCACTCCTCAGCATCCTTCACCTCCACCGCCTGAGCCGAAGAAAACTTCTAAAAGTTCTAAAGGTCAACGCTGTATAGCAGTTGGTTTATATACTCATTCAATTGTCCCTGAGAAATGGGAAATAGATACTTCTCCACTTGAAAGATATGAATTTTAATTCATGAAAATACATTTTAATAAATTGTTTGTTATTTGTTATATTATTAATGATTAAGTTTGTTATTTTCTCTTTTTGGAAACATACGTTAAATTTGCAAACATAATATTTAGTTCATAATTACATATCAAACAATTTAATCATAATTAGAAAGAAAAATGAATATAAATTTTCAAAAAGAATAGTAAGTGTATCCTCTTAGCTCATATTAGCTGTTCATGAGATGAATCATCGTCATCTTCTAAATTTTGTTTCTGAAGTCCAACTTGACGCTTCCTGCGTTCAATTTTTTGTTGGATCCTATACGATGGTTTGTTTTTAGACTCCTCTGCTTTAGCTTTCTTGAATCTGTTCCCAGATCTGATAATATTTGGTTTTTGAGCAATTGGAGATCGCTCTGTTTCCTCGTTGAAGAAGTTTTCAAGGCGCTGCTGGGCGGACATTGGCCTTTGCGGTGGCAAAGATTCGCTCTTTTGTTGTATTTCTTTTTTGAGTATTGTAGTTGTCGACTTATTACGCTGTATTAACGCAGGATTTTGTCCCATCATAATCATCTTTGCAGCTGCTGATTTTGGCTTTGGTTCAGAGAAGAAATCGTCATCATCAAACGGATCAATTTCCTCCTTTTCATTTTTAGGAGAGTTATCAGTTGTATGTATTTCAGTGGATTCTTTTTCTGATTGTACGGTTTCTGTCGGAGTTAAATTTGATAATTGATTTAAGTTTTGATTTATTTGAGAAAAATCACGAGATTTTGGCTTGTTGTCTTGATTATTATTGATTTCAAATGTATTTTCTTCGGTTTTTTCAGAAACTGTATTGGCAACATTTGTTTTTTGAATTGTTTGGCTCTCTTCTTGAGCCGAGAAAGGTCCTTCATCATCAAATGGATCTCTTTCTTGTTTTGGCGTAAATTTCTCGAGTGGATGGACTTTATGGGAAATTTGCGTTTGATTTTTATTTTTCATACTCTTTATTCTCTCAGCAAGAGTTTGCTGTTTCTTCTCTTGTTTGTGGTGATGCTTATTAACATTGAAATGTTGCTGTTTAGGCTGTGGTTGATTTGCATTGTCAATTATTTGATTTGGAGACAAACCTTCTGCTGCCCATTTCTTCGTTATGTATTTTAATTTGATGTATCGTGTAATTTCTGATATGTTTCCTGCACCAGGTGGTTTAACATCATCTGTCAAGTTTGCTTCCCAATATTGGTTTGCAATTTTATTTCCAATGGCTTGCATTCTTCTAACGCTATTCATTGACCATGAATCTAATGTGCAAGAACGAACTAACGTAATATGTGTTCCTAATGATCGATGAACACCACTGCAATCGATACAAATAAAAACACCAAGGCCTGTTGAAGCCCATTCTGATTGTTTTGCTTTACAGTCTGCGCATATTCTATTATCAGGATCCCTGAGTAATAACTGAATACTCCTCAGGGCTTCGCTCATTTCTAAAGTTTACAAATTTTTTTCGATATCATATTGAAACCACAAACATCCTTTAATTGTTAGATAAATGTATGTAATAGTTTTGTACTTTCTGTTTATATAGTTTATTTTGATTTCGATTGATTCTTGGAAAAATTGCATCATAATTCCATAGTAATTCAAGATTTTTCAAGTCATAAAATATGAGAGAATCCTATAACTAGATATGGTTTAATATGAATAGCTTAAAATGCATATAATAGCAGAAAAATTATTTGATTATTCATGTATAAATGCTTTATTTGACATTATTAAACAGATATAAAATTCTAAGCCATAATAAAGTAAATATATGAAAGTTAGACTTCGAAATTCTTTTCACTTATTGATCTTTCAGCTGCTTTATCTTTCTTAATCTTGAAATAGATCAATCCTATTATAACACCGATAACTATTATTACAATAATGGTAACTATAATAGGCACGACAACATTCTTTGATTTCTTATCTTTTAATTCCATTTCTTTTTGGTTAATTGGATCAAGACCTAATTTATGCAATCTTGATCCTTTCTTAATTGAATAGTCACCATTCTTGAAATCTGCAAAGTCTTCTTCTGTTGCATTGATATAGTTATTAACATAGACTTCTTCCATTGTTGATTTTCCATCAACTTTTGTTTGAAGTAAATTAAGATAACTTTTTGTATAAATGTGGCAATTATCGAATATATAAGCTGAAGGAGGAATTTTTGGAATTTCAACAGTATTATTCTTATAATAATTATCAATAACTGATAAGTTTGGATATGATGTAATATAAGGAGGTAGATTTCCTCTAACATTTGGATCACCACGTATTTTATAGAACTTTGGTCTCAAAATTGGATGGAAGAAATCTGCTTGAGCAGCGGCTCTTGCATCAACCCAAATACCAATTCTTCCATTAACAATAATATTGTTTCGTACGTAGTAATCTCTTCCTCCGCCAAGGGCAATTGATCTATCGGAATTAACAATTATGTTATGTGTAATAATTGTACCACTTTCAACATCATCCATGTAAATACCAAAATGCTCCATTCCTTCTTGATACAAATCATGAATATAATTGTATTTGATTGTATTGTTTCTTGTTGTATAATCAACACCTGCATAGATAGCAGATTGTGGGTAAGGAGCATCAAGTAAATAAGCAAACTCATTATATTCAAATAACATGTTATTTCCATCATAATAAATTCCCTGGCTTGGCCCATGATGGATATAGCAATGAGAAATGGTTACTCCAACACCATCTATTCTGAAAGCTTGTGTCAATCCATCCCTACTCATATTGCAGAACCAATAAACTTCTGTATTGTAAATAATGGAATTGGAATTTTTGAGTGTTTTTCGATTTCCTGCATCATAAATATTCATCGCATTATGCATTACGTTATGAATTTTACAGTCTGTAACTGTGAAATCATTACAACTTGAAAATGTTATTGCATTAAGGCCAAGATTGAAAAGATGGCAATTTTCAATTAATATATTATCACATTTGCTGAAAGAAAGTGCAGTTGAAGCTGAACATTCAATACTTATATCTTTAATAACTATGTCTGTTATAGATTTCGCATAAATTATCCTTCTATTGAAATTTGATAAAATTATTTCGGATTTTGAGGTAATTTTATCAAATGGATAAAAATATAGTATCTTTGTGTTTTGGTCTATATAGAAGTCTCCAGGGTATCTAAGTTCTTCGAAAATATTATAAAATACAACCTTGGCCGCTTTATTAGCTTTTTGGTTATTTACCAAATAAACTTTGTGGTTGTCGTTATCTATTTTAGAGACTTTTCTATACACTCCAGCGTTATCAGTCCCCCAATATCCCCAAGCCATGATATTTGGATGGAATTTCCATGTAAATATTCTACTATCATTAAATTGTACACCATTCTTGAGATTAACAGGATATGGACCTGGATCAGATAGTGAAATGTAATTTCCAAATCTTGGATAATGAGCAAGATTCATTTGTTGCTGATCAATATATAAGTTATTATGTGATGAGGATGTAGTAATGTTGAATCCGATTTCATCAAATGGTAAAAAATTTGTAATTCCAAATTCGCTGAGATCAATTTGATAGATTTTATCTCGTACACTTTCATCAAGCCTGCTAAGAACATTTTCATCTTTGACCTGTTGTGCATTTCCAAGTTTAATTCCGCCAATTAAACGAACTTTACCTTTTCCATCGATTTTCGTGTGGCTATTTTTAATTATAATAGGCTCTGTGATAAAGTTCAAACCGGGTTTGAATGTAATTTCGTGATATTCTTCACAAGAACTGAGAAAAAGGATACAAAATAACATTTTGATCATATTTTTTTGTCTTTCTCAAATTAATAAAGTTACCCGAACATAGAAATCATACATTGTTCCCGAATTCAAGATTGCCATGTATATTCAGCCATGATTGTTTTTCAATTCAAATATAGAATTGAATCGGATTAATACATTCGAAAATGTGTAATATCTAACAGGATTTTATTTACCAATTTTTATACTCCTTACAAATTTTGAATGATAAGGAAGTCAATTTGGAAAATTGTTTTCACTTTAGGAGAATATAATTTTCCATTTGGAAAATTTAAAAAGTGAGACACGCAGGATTCGAACTTTTTTTAAAGTTGATTTAAATGAATTTTAGTGTGGAATATAAGGATAATATCATATTTAAAATAAGAATATACTAGTTTAGGTGGTATTAATTTTTTCGATAAATTTGAGAGTATGTACGTTTAGGGCATGAAAAGTGTCAATTCGCTCAGCGAAAGCTGAGCTAGCTTCGTTCTCGAAAGAATAAGGAAGGAGTGAAGGAGAATGATACAGAAGTTGACACATTCATATCATTTCAACAAATTTTGATCAAATTGAAATTCAATAAAATTCAATTCATATCCTTCAGTCAGTACATTGATATCCTTCTGCATCACAATGAACTCGGGCATCAATAGTTCTACAACTAACTCAGAAAAAACAAGATTATTACTTCCTGCTTACAGCTTTTAAAAGTTTCGATGATAAAAATCACTCTACTCTCGTTATCGACATATGGTGATAGTAGGTAAACATATTCTTATCGATATTAATAAAAATATTTGTACGAAAATCTTATCCAATTAGAGAGTTATTCATAAAGTATATGATAATTATAATTACTTTATCTTTGTTTTATCTTTGAATAAACAATTTAATTTAAATTGCATAATATTTTTTGGTTGAAAGACAGGAAACTTAGTTGAGTTTGTATTATTTTTATCGTTTAATTCATCGTATCAGTGAGTGATCCAGATATTTAAGATATTTAGAAAAAAAATTATTAATTTGATGAACAAATTTTAATCAAAATAGCAAAAATCTATTTGATAGCTGTAAACAAACAATAATTTTTATTTCAAGCAAAATCACTTATTTTCATCTAAACGTATAAAATTGTCAATTTTATGAAAATAAATTGAAAATCTCATGAAATGTAAAGGAGAGTAATATTTTTTAATTTTCTTTTTTTCTTTGTCTCAAATATTTTCTGTTGGGAATTTTCTTATTATCAAAAAATAATTTTAATATTTGTTTATTTCATTACATACAATAAAATTTTAAAAACTCTATTTCTTCACAAGAAAATTTTTTTCCTTCATATGAAGAAACATTTTGTTCTCCATTTGATGCTGAGTCTAAATCTCGATTTTTGAATTTTCTTCTTTCCAAATTTCTTTTTTCCAAATTAGAAGTTTAATTCAAATTTTCAATAGTTTATATATTTTCTCAAACCGTCTCAGATTTTCTCACTTTTTAGGGATTTTCTCTCAAAATATACAAAAATAGTAATATCAATACATGTGTCTAATATACTTTAAAACCATCGTGACAAAATTCAAAAACAAAGAGTTCTTCTCTCCAAATTTTTTTCAAAATCAAAAAAATGAGATAAAAAAGTACGTTTGGAAAATTCATTTTTAGCATTTTAGGAATTTTCTCACTTTTCTTCCAAATTGACATCCTTATTGAATGCCTTTTAAATTATTCTATGAGATTAAAAAACAATCTATTCTAATACCTTTCAATGGAGCTCTTTATATAAAATTCATTTGGAATTCAAGCGTCGTATCTATCTTTCCCATTCTATATTGCTTGTTTACGTTTTTTTATTCATAATTGAAATTTCAATCTAAATTAATTTACATTAAATTACAGACACGCCCCTTTTCGTAGTGATTGAAATGTTGGAAATTGTTCATCGTATCTTTTCTTCTTATACGCACAAAGTGATTTCTTATGTTTTTATTTTTCCGATTTTTTTCTGCAGGCAAGGGAGTTGACGCAAAAATCTGATCGGAACTGCGTTTTTTGACTAATAGTTTAATTTTTGAAACGTTATTATGCCAGTTTCACTTCACTTTCTGGCACCATTAATTTCGAGTATATTGCTAACCACATCAAAGAGCATATTCAAGATGATAACCTGTTCATATTTTTGAAATAGAAGACTTAAAATTAATATTACAATCTTCTAGTAGTAGGATAGGATGGGTTTTGTGACTTTTTTTGTAAACGTAAGAATTCATACAATATCGAGCGATTTTGTATCATTATTTTAACATATTAATTTTAAAATAATTTATTTTTTTATTCTTACATAAATGACCCAACAAGTAAAACCAGATAAAATAGATTATCGAATTTTAGAGGATGGTGTTCCTGTTTATATTCAAAGATTTAAAGGGAAGCAATATTATAGAATTGTTAATCCTGAATACATAAAACATTTATTTAAAAAGGAAGACTGTGAATTATTAAACGTTAATGAATATGAAACCAATAAATCAAAATTGAAATATAAATATATTGGAAGTGATGAAAGATGCAAAGATAAAGATAAAGTTTATACAGTTTCATATAATGAATGGAAAACCAATAAGATAAGAAAACATTTAGGAGATTATGGTAAAAGTTCTGAATTCTTTAAATCTAGTATGTACGAGAGAGTAAAAGAAATTAGAAATAATTATTTTCATGAATAAAATAAACTTTAAAAATTCATGTCTTACATTTTTGAATAATTTATTTTTTTAATTCGTAAGAAAGCGCGACATTATTAAATAAATTAGTAATAAATATTATATACTAAACACATTAAAAAATTAACATTAATTTTAAAATATATTTATTTTATCTTTTATAAAAGAAGCTATATATAGATGATGTCAGATATTCCGCGATTAATTAAACATTGTTTAAATCCTGAATGGAATCAATGGAGTCATAATCAAAGACCTCATAAACGAGTAAAAGATTCACTACCATAATGAAATAAAAAATAAAAAAATTCATGTCTCAGAATCAACATTGAACTTTAAGAAACTAATGATTATTTGAATTTATGATATCAATTATTTGATTTATTCTTTCTTCAATCTCTTCTATTCTTTTTGTTAAATCATCAATTTTCATTAATGAGGTGATTCTTGATTGAGGAATAGATTTCAAACTAACCACTCCTTTTATTTTTGAAATTTTGAATCCATCAACTTTAAACATTTTATTCAATTTACATGTTGTCAATTCTTCAAATAATTTTTTATTGTTAGCATAATAGTCATTAAATTCTTCAACAGATGAAAAATTTTTTATTTCAGTAATTGGTTTAACAACGTTTATTTTTTGTTGAACATTTTCACTTATTTCTTCCTCCTCTGTTTCATTTATTTTTAAAATCGGTTTCATTTATCATTAAATAAAAATTAGAATATAAGTGATGAAATATATTTTTTAATTAATATTAAATCAGAAATGGCGGCAGGATTCTTTAAAAAATTATGGGATGGAATTAAGAAAGCTGCGGGTTGGGTTCATAAAAAGATTATTAAACCCGTTGCAAACTTTTTGGCACCAGTAGCGAAAACGGCAGGAACTATCATAGGTGGAGTATTAGGTACTAAAGCAGGTAATCCGGCGATGGGAGCACAAGCAGGTAACGCAATTGGTGGAATAGCTGAAGGAATACTTAATAAAATAGGAGGTAGATAGTGGAAAAATAAATAAATATTATTTTTATCTTAGTATCGGTTGTAGTCTTTGATAAACTTTTTCTCCTTTATTTAATATTTCTCTTATTGGGGCGGCTTTTGGTGTTATTGATTCAGCAACGTCACTAATTGCTTCTTTATTCTTAAATATCCAATTTGCTCCTTTCTTCATTGTTTCCCAAACTTTATGCGCTCCTCTTTTTACTTTATCCCACAGTTTCTTAAATATACCTGCAGCCATAGTTGATTATTTCATTAAAATTAAAAATTCATTTTCATCTTTTAATTTTGATTTTTTATTTATTAATAAATGACGACTAACTATTTGGTGCCAAACACTAAACCGATTAATGGAAATGTGTTTCATTCATTCGAAAAGATAAATGAAATATTCGCAAAGAATGACGGTAGAAGATATTATAGAGAACTTGAAAGTTCATGCTATGACTCTGATGCTCCATATTTTGATGATAAACAAACTCATTTAAGAATTACAAATCCGGCTCATGATGTGAACCAATTAGGTGACACATATATTAAACGCAAAGTTAAAGCAACTCTAGTTTCAAATAAAGCTTTCACATGTGATGCCGCTTTTAAATTCATGCGTTTATTCGTTGGTTACAAATCATCAAATCAAAGCTTTAAACAATTAGAAGTAGAAACCGAAAGAGGTGATGCCGGTTATCTTCAGATGGATTGTGCCCGTGAATCTTTCGCATTTGCAACATATAAACCAAAATCAGAAAGGAAAGTTAAAAAGTTTGTTCATTCGTTATATAATAATGTTCAAAAATATGATAACTCAGTATGTGGTAAATATATTGACCCTTCAGAAGTTTTCGAGAACGCAAATAAAGAAGTTGATATCACTTTTGATATGATTATTCCGGTAAATGATTTGTTAGCATTTCAGGCGTTCAATGATTATCCTAAATCATTTGGTTATCATAAGACAAATTACGGAAAGTGAACTCAAACAAAAAGTGACACAATGCATTTGCCAACCAAATAACTTTACAAAGCAAAAACTTAAATTACTTGTCAAGCTTACTATTCTTATTTTAACAATTAAAAAATTAAATTTTATTTTTTATTTAAAAAAATCATCTTATATCATCTGATATATATATATAACAGCATTAATATTTCAATGATTCACAAATCAACTTTTTCATTATTTTAAATTATTTTGTCTGAATGTTAAACTATTCGGACAAAGTTTCCCGCTGTTTGCGAAGGAATTGTTGGCTATGATGTACTGATTCATGATCAGTACATCATAGCCAACAATTCCTTATACAAAGTTCAAAAACTTGGGTGCAATCAGAACTGATTGCACCCAAGTTTTTGAACTTTCTCGAGGGAATGAAAGGGTAAGAGGTATACATTATGAATATATACCTCTTACCCTTCCATTCCCTCTCTGACAGCGGGAAAACTTTGTCTGAATGTTAAACTATTCAGACAAAGTTTCCCGCTGTTTGCGAAGGAATTGTTGGCTATGATGTACTGATTCATGATCAGTACATCATAGCCAACAATTCCTTATACAAAGTTCAAAAACTTGGGTGCAATCAGAACTGATTGCACCCAAGTTTTTGAACTTTCTCGAGGGAATGAAAGGTAAGAGATATCCATTTCCTTTCACCTTCGTTCTCAATAATTAACTTATAAATTTTTTAAAGCAAAAAAAGTCTGATTTTTTTTGACAAGTAAATATATAGGGAATTTATCCGACCAAATAAGTGTCACTTTTTCGGTTCACCTCACTTTCCGTAACTCGTCTTACAACATGGTGAAATCATTCTTAAATATTATGTTTTCAGGGATACTTTAGTATTTTGTCAGGTTGACCCGTTAAGAGTTGCTGATTTACAAAATTACGTTTATGAAAAGATAACTGATGAAAATTATGAAAAGATTATGAATCATGTTTATAAATATGATCGCAAATTCCAACAAATCGGACTTCCTGCCAAATTAATTACAAGCTTAGCCGCTACATCTGCTGACGCAACAGTTGATAACGTTATTATTTCATGCACAAAGATGGAAGTTTTAGAGGATAAATGCATTACACCAGGATACGGTTTAATTGAAGAATCAGTTAAAGCAATACCACGTTTATTCAGTAAGGAAGATCCATTCATGATTCCAGCTCAACATATTGACGTTCGTTCACTAAATGGAGGTTGCATCACTCCTGAAGGTATTAGCTCAGATTTCTCATACGCTCTTCATAATGTTACAGATGTTGTGTTAACATTTCCGAAGAATGCAATGCAAAGAACGGTTTTAGAAAATCCAATGCTTCGAGGTCTTCAGGTCACTATAGATTCCAGAAACTTCCCCGATCAAGCGATGACCACAGTGGGCGACATATTCTTTACACGTATGCTTCAAGCTTCTGATTTAGATGGAGTGAATGAATGCACGGAAGAATACGAGGACTCATTAACTAGACCACTGAATGATGATGATGGCACGCCATTAGCTAGAACATGGAAAGACCAAACTTCATTCTTATGCACTATTCCAGTTCAACGTGATGGAGCGGGTATATTCTTTGATGGATTAGAAACTTTCAACTCACAAGTTACAGTACAAGTGAAAGCTTATCCAATCATTCAGGGTGTAAATGACACTTACTGTTCAAAGGTGACAAATCCTCCTCAGGTTTGGTTTACTAGGACTACATATTGGACATGGACACCGGATGAAGGTTTGAAATATCATTCAACAGGTACACCACCACAGTATAGAAGTTCATATGATGAAATATTGATGAATAGAAATGTTTAAAATTATAAATTTATTTTTGATTAAATGGATTTAAATTCATCCACCCCTTATGAAGAATTAGCAGGAGTATATAATACATACGTAGATGATATGATTAATGAAGCATTGAGTGATAATAGAAATGCTCTATCTAAGGAAAAATTAATGAAAATTCCATATTCTGAATGTTACTTAAATTCAATCACTGCAGCAATTGGTAAACAAAATAAAGGTAAAACATTAACGATATTAAAACAAATTATCATTATTGCTAACACTTCCCCCCATTCACATGTGTTAATTTATATCAACCGTTCAGGTTCACCTTCAGATGATACATTTGAATCTTTAAAGCATTTAATCAAAATTCCAATTATTTATTTATCACAAGAAGAAGCAGAAGATTATTTAAAAAACTTTTTAATGTATAAAGAATTATATAATACAATCAAGAAGCAAGGATTAGAGGATAAAATTATAGATAAACAATGGGATGAATTATTTGAAACACTTTCTATTTCAAATTTTGATAGAGAATTTTTGCATTCACTCATTTTTCTAGATGATGCGGTGAAACCAAAACTAATAACAAATGAGAAATCATATTTTAATCAATTATTAACTCAATGTCGACACATTCAATGTTCATTCTTCATGGCTGTTCAATACTTCAAAGCATTAAGCACAAACATTAAATCAAATCTATCAACCCTTTTCATTTTCAGTGGGTTTAGTCGTCAACAGTTGAACGTTATGCTTTATCAAGTGAATCTACCAATGAGCATTAATGAACTTTACACACAATATCAGCAATTAGGTGAACATGGAAAAATAATAGTTGATTTAAATAAAGGAAGTGTTAAATTTGATTAACTTTTTATAATTAATTTTTATTTTTTATTTATAATTAAACATGACAGAAATGGTAAATCTTCTACAGGTTCCATTAAAACAAGGGACAAACAAAAAGGGTGCATATAATAGAACTATGAAAGTTCCTGATGGAATGAAAGAATTAGTTCATATTGTTGCTGGTCTTCAAAAAGATGTTAAACAAATGAGAAACGTTTTAACATTACCAGAAGCTCAAGCATATGCCAAACGTCAAGGTCCAAATTGGGAAGCACACGAAGAGACATTACGGGTCCAAATGGAAAACCTGATGGTATAAATGAAGTTTTCGTTACTGATGGTCAAGGTAATATTAAAGTCATAAATGGTTACAAATTAACTATAACTGATTATCCTAAACGTAAAGCATATAATGAACGTTATCCTATGCAATTTGATGAAAATGGAAAAGCTGTTAAACAATACATTGGAGAAGGTGAAAATGGTCCAATGTATTCATACCGTCATAATCCATATTCTTATTTCAATGAAGAATTAAATGCTGTTGAAGAGGGACCGGATGGATTACCACGATATTCTAACCAGTTTGATGGTCAATATGCAAATATTAGACCTGAAATTTCAGCTAAGAAATTCTTTAAAGTTGCTTTATTCGATCCAGTTTTCGCAAATGTTAAAGATGAACTTAAACAGCAATTCCAACCAATTATAGTAGCAAGAATTGCATCAGGTGCTTTATCTCAAGCATTCAAAGATTTAATTAAGAAACCATTATATCAGCAACGAGGTTTAACTTATGATTTAGTTAAGGAATCAGATAAAAGAAAATTTGAGAAATCAGATGATTATAAGAATGCAATTAATGAATATATTCGGTCTATTAATTTCGATGAAACAGCTAAAAATCAACTTCATGAACAAATACAGGGAATAATAGATTCAAAAGTTCCAGCAAAATAAAAGTTTAAATATATTTTTTTTTATTCGATTATAAATGAGAAGACGTTTCACTAGTCAAAAGAACACTAACGCAAAAGCAGAGATTACGGTTGGTTATAACGTAAATGATGATAAATCACGAATTATTCAAAATGTTAAAGTTAATGTTAGCCCTGAATTAACAAGGTCAGCAACTCAACCAAATTTATTAACTCGTGACTTACCGAAGAATGAGGAGAATGAAGAAAACCATGAGAATGGAGACCCAATCATTTTATCTGAACCCGGTAAAGAACCTGTTGAAATTCCCACTTATCCAACATACCCCCCACCTCTTTCATCAAACATCGAGAACCCATATAAAATAGACATTAATTCTGAATTAATGAAAATTTACCGTGATATAATAATTAATAATTATGATTCAATAATAAATTTAATTGATCAATCCGGTTTAATTATTTTACCTTATGAATCATTAATTCACATTATCGCCATTCTTTGTGATGTTCAAGATTCAGACGTTAAGATTCAATTTTTCATAGATGATGAGGTTTCATGCTGCGGAACAGTTGCAAAAATAAATCCTATAAAGGATATTAGCACAATTAAGATATCAAAGAACGGAACAACAACTGAACTTCATTTAACATATAATGATATTTATAATAAAATAGTTGATGAATATAAAATATCACTTGAAAAATTCTTTGTTAAGGCTATTTAAAATAGTTGATGAATATAAAATATCACTTGAAAAATTCTTTGTTAAGGCTATTTAAAATAGTTGATGAATATAAAATATCACTTGAAAAATTCTTTGTTAAGGCTATTTAAAATAGTTGATGAATATAAAATATCACTTGAAAAATTCTTTGTTAAGGCTATTTAATATTCAAGCATTAACATTATTGAATAATAATCCTTTGAATCATAATCGATAATAATTGACCTTTCACCAGTTTCTATCGTTTGTTTTATTTCTTTTTGTTCCCCACTATCCGGATCGGTCATTGTAATTGTTTTTGTTATATAGGGTGTCCAAAGGTGTGTTTAGCACAAACCTGAATACTGCGAATAGAAATAAACAAGTTACATATATATAAAGTTTATTTAAATATAATCACCATTGGATTCAATCACGCGTTCGCAGCGATCGATCCAGGCTTGAAAGACACGCTTTAAATCATCATGAGAAAATTGCTCAAATTGCTCTCTTACAAAATTTTCAAGATCATCAGGACTCGCGAATTCGCGTCCTTCAGCTCTCTTTTTTAGCGTGCCGAATAAATAAAAGTCAGAGGGTGCAATATCAGGTGAATAAATTGGGTTTGGAACAACTTTGACATTGTTTTCCACTAAGTAATTCATTACCTTATGACTTTTGTGAACTCTTGA